GAATCCTGAAGCGAAAGGGAAACGAGGAAGACCAGGGAGCGCATTGCTCTGGGAATTGGAAGCAGACATGGAAAGAACGAACAGGAACTGGAAAGGATTGTCCGGGACAAAGATGGATAGAGAATGCTGGTGAGCGGCCTACGCTCTTTCACGACTGGTAACAGGTGTAAGTAAGTAGTTAAAGATGGATCAACGTGTTATAAACTAGCCAAATACACTGATCAAGAATACGAATACCTAAGTGCTAGCCATATCAATTAGAAGTGTCTACTAATAATTGTATTTCCTTAACAGATTCCTAAGGTAGGTTTTAATTCGATAAAATCAGCTCAGCTGTAAATATTAGTTACTGATTATTCGGTAGAATAATAATGAAAACTCTTTCCTGTTATTTCATACAATTTTTCATATTGATCAATTGAAATAGAATAAGAAGAATAAACGAGGCAGAATAAGATGGATTCATTTGTTTTACAAATTCTATTTAGCTACTTGAGGCTTATATATATATATATATATATATATATATATATATATATACCGTGGTCTTAATGTATTAAAATTTTTTTCTCTTTCTTCATACTCTTGTTCTTTTACAGCCACCTGCTTCACCTTCCATCTTCCCTTCAAATCTTCTACCCCCAACCGGTTTGTTTTTATTTCCACGATCATTCCGATTACATTTCATCTCTGTTTCAACATTTTGTGTTATTTTATCATGCTGAGCCATCCTTACCCGATGAATACTTAAGCCATTAACTATCAAACTTTCCTTGTTTTAAAAAAATAATTTTTCTAATACCTTTGTTTATTTAACCTCACTGTCACCATGTATAACAGAAGTTTACTATCAGTATTATTATCACCCTGTAAAAGTAAGTATATATATTTGCGATTGTACAGCTTTGAAAATGAATTCGCCGAAAAGAGAACTCTTCGCTGAACTACTCTTTCTTTCTTATTTAATGTCATAATGGGTGTATTCCGTCTATTATCATAAGTCCTCACAATAAATTCTGTATAAGATTCAGTTTACTGATGAAATGGTACAGGATAACATTGTTGAATAATTTTTATGGTGATCTAGCTTCAAGTAACTCATGCATTTAACTATTAAATTACTCAAATCTTCACAAAACCCCCTTCTTTGACTATATATAATCTTTTTTGCTAGTCTAAATACTCAGTCATAGAAAGATAATGTTTTACTGATTAACTTAAATAATTTTATAATATCCTATAAATAATGATATAAACTAGAATTAATTATGATTATAATGAATTGAAAACCCACCATCCATCCCATAAGATCAGTCATGAGATATAGGAACTCTTCTAAGTCAATTTGACCTGTCAAGTTTGTCTGAACATCATAGTATTTGTTAAGAATAAATAACAACTTTTTAAATATAATACAATGATAAAATGAAATTTAGTAGAACTCTGATATATAAGTGTTATGACCATAACAATAAGGCAAAATAACTCATTGGGATTTTTGTTCAACAGTACTTCAGTTTTAATTCAATGTGTTGATTAAGCAATGTAGTAATTGTTTTGTTTTCCTGCATAATACTCCATTCGTTATAACATACGATATTCTTGTATTAAATTAACATGACACACAGCATATGATTTGTTATAACATTAAGTATTTTTCATATAAGTGATTTTGTCCTAATTATTAACCAAAATGGGTGTACAAATCAATATATAATTGAGTGTATTTTCGTGTTTTGAGTTTAATAAATCTTCACTTGTACTAGTCTTGGTGTTTTTACTTTTCGCATCATGAGAATTGTACTGGTTCCTCATTTTCAAGTATAAGTGATTAGCGATTCCGACATAACAACTAGCGACGATCAGATATAATGGTTGGCAACGCAGTCATAACAGTCGATCATCAATTATAACAATTAGTAAAATACAATCTGGTTACAAACGAACTAATTAAGATATTTATTTAAAACTAGGCAAATTGCATACATATTTGTAAGAAAGCCCGATGATGTTCTAAAGGATTATGTCTTGGATAATTTTTCATTAACTATTTTTTTAGATCCAGTTATTACTAAGCACTGAAAAAGTCCAGTTCAAATCTACATGTGATAACCATGACAATTCGATCATTGTTTTTATGAATAATATATTAGGACGATTGCTGACTAACATCTCGCATATCATACGTTGAAAATGTACCAGATGACTACAACAAAGATGTACGTTTTCATGATCAAAATTCGAATGAAATCATATTCATAATTAACAAGCCTGAACGTGAAATTAATGTGTTGAAAAAAGTATAATTCTCTTCAAATTCACATTATTCTTTTATGTTAAGAAAAGTTCACAACATCAAGATGTTTAACAGATGAATGTCTGATTCAATCTAGAATTCTATCTTCAGAAAGGCTACATGGGAAAAGCAATATCCTAATTACCCTAATTAATTTTCAGTCTATTACAAACCCACAGTCATCCATTGCCGAATACACAGTTGAAAAGAGTTATATGATTAATCATAAGTTGGTCATTCAGGTCTAATCTGAAGGCTATCAGACAAATCAAGAGTGGGAAGGCAAAATGACCAGACAACATACCGGCTGAAGCAGTGAAGTCAAACATGAAAGTAACTGCAACAATGTTCTACATTGTTCTACAGATGCAAACAGACAGGAAAGACGGATACTAATAATTGTATTTCCTTAACAGATTCCTAAGGTAGGTTTTAATTCGATAAAATCAGCTCAGCTGTAAATATTAGTTACTGATTATTCGGTAGAATAATAATGAAAACTCTTTCCTGTTATTTCATACAATTTTTCATATTGATCAATTGAAATAGAATAAGAAGAATAAACGAGGCAGAATAAGATGGATTCATTTGTTTTACAAATTCTATTTAGCTACTTGAGACTTATATATATATATATATATATATATATATATATATATAATATATATATATATATATATATAATTATTATATTATATATATATATATATATATATATATATATACCGTGGTCTTAATGTATTAAAATTTTTTTCTCTTTCTTCATACTCTTGTTCTTTTACTAAGAGATATAGAAAAGAACCATGCTATTATCTAAACTAGAAAAAGTTCACAAAATAGTGTTGTTGAACCAAATGGAAGATTCATTAGACGCTCAACTTTGAGATAATCAGGCTTGATTCCGTAAGGATCTGTCGTGCATAAACCGAATCGCCACAGTACGGAACATCGTTGATCAATCAATCAACTATACATCGACTTCCTTCATTTTGAGAAAGCGCTTAAAGGTATGAATAGGAGAACCTTATGGAGACTTCCTCGACACTGTGGAGTGAGTAAATGAAAATGTTTGTCAACATCATCAGAAATTCATACGACGAACTGCACTGCAAATTCGTGTATGGAGGACAGCTGATAGATGCATTCCAAGTAAGAACCAGAGTCAGACAAGGCTCTCTACTCTCTTCCTTCCTCTTTCTTCTGGTAGTCGACTGGATTATGAGGGAAAACAGGGCATACAATGAACAGCTCAGAAACAATTAAACGATTTGGACTTCACAGAGTACCTAGCCCTCCAATCCCAGGCACAAAAACATTTGCAGATGAAGACAACTAGTGTAACTTCAGCCTCTGAATCAGTGGGCCTCAACATACACGAAGGAAAAAGCAATATCCTCAAGCACAACACGAAGAACACCAACCAGATCTCACTTGACGGAGAAGCTCTGGAATATGTGAAGACGTTCACGCACCTGGACAGCATCGTCGATGACCGTGAAGGATCAGATGCAGACGAAAGGAGTGGATTGGTAAAGAAAGGGCCGCATTCCTACAATTGAAGAACATATGTAACTCAAGACAACTGGTAACTAATATCAAAGTGAATATGTTTAATACGAACTTCTAGACATTTATGTTGTGCGGAGCTGAAACTTCGAGAACTACCACAACCGTCATCAAAATAGTACAAGTAATTATGAACAATTGTCTAAGCAAGATACTCAACGTTCCTTGGTTGATCAGACCTTATCCGCTGAAACCGATTAGCCTTCATGGAAATAGTTACCTTTTCTGAAGTCTTACAAACCCACCGCAATAACACATATTACGTAGATCTGACAAACTCTGTCGTCTAATTGCATCATATAAATTAGTCAAAAGAAATAACTGTTTTAAACAAGATTTTATTTTTTCTTCCCACATCGAAATATAAGTGTCTACACAAACCCATAAGGAGAAATCGAACATTTTTAACACTGATTAAGTATAGACCTAATCAAATCCATTCTTTATTGTTACCAATACAAACAGTCACACTTTTTCACCACATTTTCAGATAACCAGTTCCAAAAATCAATAATTCTGTTGTCTAGTTCCTAAATTTACTCACTGTTAAGCAAATCAAATCATGATTACTGTTATGATATTTTTTTTATAAAGGATACAGATGCTGAAGATATTAAACTACTACACAAGTTACTAGGAAATTCCGTAAAACCAATCATATAATCTGAAATAGAAAAATATGGAAAGAAAATTACCAACTACTATATGGTGTAGTGAAATTCAAAGTTTATCATTTTTGAATTGTATTAAGAATCTCTGGAATTCCGTCGTTAGTAACTAATAACATTTTTAACAAAATTCAATAATCTTTATTAAATTATGAGTTACCTTTTAGTTAAAACTCTCAAACATATAAAAGATCCTCTAATAACGAAACCGACGAATGGAATGCATTATATCTCTGGTTTATGATCATGTTTAAAATATTCATTAATAAGCAGTATGGTATGATTATATAGTACTACAAATAAATAAACTAGCATGAGTTAATCATTCTATTTTCACGAAGCATGGATAAGTATGAGTTAAAAGTAGGAGGTTGAGTCCACTCACCTCGAAAATTATATTGGTCCAGAATAGTACCTAATATTCTAGAATTGATTGTTTCGGTAATTGGATTACATAACTGCTTAAAATTTAATTCCAATGAAGTAAGTTCCTTCTACAAGAAAAGGAATGAGTAAAAATTCTGTTGTTTGACTTAACAAAATGATCATTTCGATCATGTTTTAAAAACTTCCTTCAATGAAGTCACAATATCAAAATAAGAATGGTAGTAGAACACTAAATTATTCGTTTCTATGATCATTTAGTCTTATAAAGCATCTATTCAATTTAAATAACACTAAAATTTTGATAATTGTAACTAATTAAATGGTGTAGACTTTTTTAGGGTATCAGTTTTAAGTAAAGCATTCATAATGATACAATATTCAGTGTAGTCACTAATCGACAGATTTGCAAATCTGAGCCCATCATAAAGTAAGTATTTGTTTTTGTAACCAAGAGCTAAAACAAACCGATAACCAGCGATATAATTTCATGAGTACTTATTACAGTATGTTACTAAGATAAACTTAAAATTTCTCAGGCAGAAAGATATATGATTAAAGTTCCACATACGCTGTCGTATGACGAGGTAGTTTCTTTCGACAAAATATTCAGTACTACAACTCGAGATAATAAATCAATAAACACGATGACCATGTGTTGCTGGGTCGATTCCTGTTAATATGAAAGTTAAGAAATGGGAAAAGTGTATCATCCAGTGATAACTATGGTTAACACAAATTTTTTATTATTAAATGCACAAACTTATCGATTACTAGACTTAAAATTCCAATTAAAATGAATCAAATCAATGGAAACATTGTTAAACTTACTAACATGATATTTGAAGAGCTTCCACTGTTGACTGAAATTTTTAATGAATAACAATAATTGATAATGGATAGTATTTCGTTACATTTAAAATGAAATATAATTATTACCACAACTTTGTGCAAATAACATCATAGTTATAATATGTTTCATCACGAATTAATATCATCTGATTTTAATGGAGTTTTGTTCTCTGAACTGGATGATATTGTTCAGAAGAATGATGAAAGCTCCACGACTAAATCATCCCGCTCAGAGAGCAAAACTCCATCAAAATCCTCCACATGAGCTACAAATATTCTCCACCATATCAATATCATCTGAGGAACTAATGAAAACCAGGCGATAAAGTAGGTTAAACTAATGTTATTAAGAAAACATTTCAATTAACATTATTCAGTCGAATAGTTTAGATAGCTTTAATTTAAAGGACTTGTAATTTCACTAAGTAGTAGGAGTTATTCAGTGAATAAATTACATTTCAATTCTTTACACAAGATTGGAAGTCGTATATAGTTTTTGATGAGTTTTATGATATAGTTTACCTAGTTGTATACACGTACGTCTTTAGTTTGAATTAAGCTATCCGTAATGGTATGTTCTTTAAAATTGTAATGACTACTTTCTAATTTTAATTATGGAGGTACTCTAAGAGTTCACATAACTTAGCTGAGTTATTTTTACGAAGAGTAGGTGTATATGAGCCATCAAGCAGTATACAGTACAGATCTGAATAGTGATTTGAAGTGAAATAAGGGATCTGCCTTTTATCCTATTTAGTACTCATCAGCTAGATTTATTAAACATCCTAGTTTTGATATATGCACACTGAAGCTCTAATTGAGTATTCATTACTTTCAGCTATAATCAGTTCTAGCATACTGAGAGGTGCAATTTTAGAATCTTGGAAAAGTGTTTTTAATCACGGGATTAGATTGCCATCCGTACAACCTATTGGTTTGTAACAAATTGCATTGACTTGTTATGTTATTCAACTTAGACACCATATTTCAAGTCATAGTAGCATAGTTCAGTTCGATATTTAAAACTAAATGCCATACCATTATTGAAACTTTAGTGATTTTTCTGTGAATATATTTATGCAATGCAAAAGTATTTGTATTTTAGAATGTGGCGTGATACTTCAAAAAGAATACCCCAACTGATAATTTTCCCAAAATCCTTGTTGTTGAGCATATTTAAAACTTTTAAAATTTTGTAAAATATTAATACAAATATATAGTTGTTATTAGCGGCATGCTTGAATATCTGAGATATCTGTTCCAGCCATTTATATATTTCAATGAGATACCTTTTTTTGCTACGTCTATTATTCGCACAACTTCTTCAGGTGACTTTATGAAAAGTTTACGATATGTCACTCTACAAGTTACAAAAACGTATAATCAGAGACACTGTGGTGCCTGGCAATATGCGTTGAAAAGAATAAACACTATTCAGATGTCAATTCCTGAACTGCTAACATCTAACTGGAGATCACTCAATATATATAGCCAGGATCGATCACAAAGTAAGCAAAGGAAATAGTTAGTGTTAAGAAATCTATACTGCACCAAATATACAATATTGAATAAAATCATTAATAATAGTTATCTTTACATTGTAGACTGTCGTTACTATACGATAACATGTAAACATACCTTTGGAAAGCCTTCGTATAGGTTCTCCTCATCCAGTTCTCTAAGATAAAACGAAAAATAAGCATATTTCTGAAAATATTTCACCAATAAAGAGTAACAGCTAATTAATCAATAAAAATAGTGTTACCTCAAGACATACATAAACTATAATTAGTCATATGTTTTCAGTAAACATTAAGAAGTTATTAGAGGTTATTAGAGGTGAAGCGTTCGCGCTCAAGACCGATAGGTCCTGGGTTTGAAACTAGCGAGGCAGGATCGTGGATGCACAATGCTGAGGAGTCCGAAAATAGGACTAAAAGGCCGTTCAGTACTTCCACGTTTTCCATGGTGATCTAGTTTCAATTGACGCATGATCTCAACTATTGAAATTATCAATTATTGGATTCCTTTAACATGTATAGACAAAGTAAGACTGACAATATTTGCTGAATTCAATAAATTCATTATAATTCGTTGTGTTCTTTTTAGCGAATAAACAAGTATATTCCATTTGAATTTCTAACATAATTTAACACTCAATAAATTAATTGTTCAACAATTACGAATAGATTGTTTGTAATTTAAAATAAGTTAAGAACCAAATTTCTTAAAAAAGATTTTTTTCTTATTGTTTAAGGTGGTCACTCTAGAATATAATTAATACTATTACTCAACTCAATAAAGATTTAGGGAGTTTACAAAGAAAGAAAAGTCAGACGTTTGAATTGAACTCAATAGATCATGATTATAATTAATCAAAGTAAGAAAGAGGATCAAAATGTTTAATTTGTTTCTGTTACCAAGACAGTTGATGATTAACTACTTACTATATTTAAAATGCGAAAGTCAGGTCTTAGCTGTTTAAATCAAATGTCTTACGCGAATTGGACTGTTTATTGTACATTTTGAATGTATTGAGTCAATGTTATGCCTCGAGTTACCAGGTGATGTGTAATCAAACTTTGAAGACCATTTTGTCTTCCAAGGTGCAAGTTTCTGGGAATATACTAAAAATTGATTGGAAGCTTTCCTTACTGCCTTTTCTGTGCAATTTTTTTATTTGTACATATAATTCGATTGCAGGTGACATGTGACGAATACTTACCTTTCACTCCAAGTTTACAATGAATACATTCTCACAGACTGGCCTTAAAGGGTCATACCATTTGATTAATAGTAAAATTCATTGTTAAGTTGAAATTGAAAGTTTTAGTCTATCAACTTAGTAACAATATGAGTTGTAGTCGGAGTATCCGTTGTGAGTATCGACCATTAATGTCAATACTTTCTTCCAAAGGGATATTGATAAACTGTCAAAAAATTACATAGGAAATTAAAAGTTTATATCATATATTTACTCAATCTATCAAACTGAAAAGTGTTCTTCACATAGTACATAGCGGTTTCTTTACAAGTTGGCTAATTATGTTAGCTAACTATCGTACCTGTTAATTTCAGTAGGGTTTAATCACGGATATATGATAAATCTCATTTTCATTGACCTGTCCATACATGAATATTAGGTATAAGCAAAGTGTTTTGAGCTCGTTCAATTTCACCTCTTGCTAAACTCGAGGCATAACATTGACTCAATACATTCAAAATGTACAATAAACAGTCCAATTCGCGTAAGACATTTGATTTAAACAGCTAAGACCTGACTTTCGCATTTTAAATATAGTAAGTAGTTAATCATCAACTGTCTTGGTAACAGAAACAAATTAAACATTTTGATTCTCTTTTTTCCTTTGATTAATTATAATCAATATAATCAATATAATATTAATATTTTGTTCAGTACACTTTATCGTTTACTTCTCATAAAAGCAAAACATGCTTAGTACATATCCTATCACAAACTGATCACTTGTTATTTTTAGAAAATAGTAGTCATTTTATGAGCGTTATTATTATGGTGGGTGGTGTCCGAAATTGGTTACTGATACATGATGTGCTACGTGCTAATCCCCCACCTGACTATTTGATCGAGAACACAAACTTAGATGAGGTAGCGTATTTGTATACCAAATATAATGCACGAATATTCGTATACATATACTGCTTAGGAAGTCAATCTATTCCTTAGCTAATTAAATGCACTTGCCCTTCAGGTCACCTTTGATTACCATCGATTGACCTTCTTGTTTGGCTACTTCTGATTGGTTTACTACATTGCGCTAATATATCACATAATTCTGATAATCTTCGTCTTCTTATTACATTATCGAAACTTACTACATTAGTTAGCTCTACTTTTTAATATATCTTTAAAATCAGATTTGTTATAAATGTTGCTAATTTTGATATTAAATTAACATAATTTAATCATTTAGTTATAGTTATTCAACTGAAACTTACAATTGCTTCATTTTTACAGTAGAGAATACCCGACAAATAAATCGTGCTTCTTGATTTGGATTATATGTTGATGGTATTATAATAAATGTTCCAGGAAAAAGGTCAGCTTCTAATGTTACTTCACGTCTTGGAATGTAGTCTGATGTTAACAATGGTTTTCGGCATAATAATTCTTCTGCTGTAAGACATGTATTTTGCAGTTCAGATACCTAAGTTAATAGATTTTTAACTGTTCTTCATAAAATTAATTTAAATATAGTTTTTACTGAATAATGCATTAAATTTTTAAACAGTTTGCTATAAAACATGCTTTTTTCCTTAAGTCATTGTTACAGTTTGTTAAGTAATTTTGAATAAAGAATAATAAACTGCTGAGTGCTCTCTATCTTTTTCCAATAGTTATTTATGATTTGTGTTTCATGGTTGATATACCATAATAACTAAAAGTAATCGTTGATCATATGAGGGCATAATTACATATGATCCTACATAATATAAGCATCAACCTTTACACAAGCATGATGCTATAGGGCCACCCTCTTTTTCTTTCTTAATTAAATAAATATTTTATGAGAGCAATACTTTCAGCAGATTCATTTATTATTTGATTAGAATCAAGATACCGAATCCATTAGTCAGTATAAAGTGAATTGCGATAGGAGATACCATTCACCCATAATTTTAAAATTCCATACACATAGTTCCCCGTTATCATTTTGGAAAGAGAAACAACAAAGATTCTAGCAGAATAGCATGAATTCATTATATTTCTTAGGTTCTCGTCAGCTGCTTACAACCTGTGATATTTAAAATCATAATTACATAATGGGTTTAAATTGCTTACACGAAAGAGTTTGATTGGGAGTTATATTGAAGACATATTCGTATAGTATAGCAAGGGTGTAAATAAATTTAATTGACTGAATATTGTAAATATGTGATGAAAGAACATTGTGACAACAGTTCAAAAGGCTAGAAACAAGTAAACATTGATAGAAATAAAATGAGTAGAGTTCAGTTGATAAAATACGATTAATAATTTGGAAGATTGTTGGAGTAAAACTCAATGATGTGATAAGTGCAAGAAAGAGTTTAAAGAAAAGAAAAAAATATATTAAGATATGGTGACGGAATATTTGTCACCAAGGCAAGGAGAAATTAATAACCATCTCCTTTTGAACACATAAATCAGGTTTTTGGCGGCTGATAGCAACTGCTTCAATAAACTTCAGAAGACTGGAGTTTGGCTGCTTACTAATCATAGTGAATGATTGTAGAGTATCGACCTGATGTCCTGTGTCAAGGAGATGTTTGATGATTGCACTATTTAGAGTCTTTCTTTCTCTTGTTCTGAAACGTTTTGGAACATATTAAAAAAATCTGAGATATTCCCTCCTTTCTGTTCGGCCAATGTAGCTGCTTTGGCAGGTACACGTAAATTTATAAATACAATTGGCGGTAACATGAAAAGGATGTTTATCAACCTTTGATAGAGTTATTGAACATGTTGTTTTATACAGAATTAGAAGTTTGGCCGCCGGATAAGTTCTAGCTAGTCCAGTATTCAATCTCCTGTTGAGTGTGTTTGCAACATCATCACCTTTGAAGTTAAGATTTATAGTTATTGGTTTTTTACATAAGGTATATATTTACAATATTCAGTCAATTAAATTTATTTACACCCTTGCTATACTATACGAATATGTCTTCAATATAACTCCCAATCAAACTCTTTCATGTAAGTAATTTAAACCCATTATGTAATTATGATTTTAAATATCACAGGTTGTAAGCAGCTGACGAGAACCAACGAAATAAAAATGAATCCATGCTGTTCTGCTAGAAAGTTTAAAATTATCAAGAAATAGGAATAAAGTAGGGTTTATAATATTTTCTATCACCTTTGGCTAAATATTTGCATAAATAAACTATATATGAGCAAACATTTGTTTTCAATCATTTCATTATCAGGCTTTACAGTTATAAGTCCATAATTATGATATTTTACAATATAATATGTAATAAGAGGGGGGTGTTATCAAGTTAATTACCATAAAAAAGGGTTTGCATAAATTTCTAGTTTTGTTATCATAGGTCATTAATTAATAGGTATATGTATATAAGCAAATATTATAACAAAGTAAAAACGTAAACTGGATAATAATTATGATCGTTATTAATAAACCAACATAAACAATCATAAGCTAATACAAATAAATGGGATTTATCTTTTACAAAGAACAAATAAAACAGAAGTGAATTTAAGGGCAATTCAACGAAGAAAATGTCATTCACTTAAGCCGTATAATTATATACACGGTGATTTATAAAATTAGTCTATTTATAAATAAAATGTTACATCATTTCACGAATCAAAAACATGACGTAACTATGGAGAATTAAAAGAAAGGTCAGACTGGGTTTTGTGGAGAGTTTTTTTAGAAATTTCATAGGTTGAAACCATGAGTCGATTGAAACTAGACCACCATGGAAAACCTGGAAGCACTGGATGGCCGTTTCGTTCTAGTACGGGACTCCTCAGCAGTGCGCATCCACGATCTCGCACCACGCGGGGTTCGAACCCAGGACCTACTGGCTTCGCGAGCGAGCACTTAACCACTAGAAGCCGTTACCAGTGGAGTTCAACCAGGTCTGTTGTGAGATAGTAACTCACTGAAGACAATGGTGTACGTGTCGCTCAATTTCGTGGATTAGTTGAAGTTAGACATTAACATAATTGGATGCCAGCTCAGAGGTCTTATGGTTAAGTGCTCGCGCGCGAAACCAGTAGGTCCTGGGTTCGAACCCCGCATGGTGCGGGGTCGTGGATGCGCACTGCTGAGGAGTCCCGTACTAGGACGAAACGGCCATCCAGTGCTTCCAGGTTTTCCATGGTGATCTAGTTTCAATCGACTCATGATTTCAACCTATAAAAGAAAGGTCTTAAGATGAATGATTGTTGTCCATTTGACCTGTATGAGAAGAGAATTTAAAAGTTATGGCCATGTAAACAAGTACGGTATCAGTCAAATTTCAAATTAATTATCTTATCCTTCTACATTTAATCTTTCACTTTATAGATATTCACCACAAACTGTTAGCACTTATGAGTATAGCTTTATTGAATTTAGGATTGACCGTTATAAAATACTCAGCAATATTAGTATCATACATACAATCTGTGGAAAGTAGTAAACTTTCCCTTTCATTACTTTAACTGTTCGTTCGGATTTAAACAAAAGTTCTCATAAATTAATAATAATGATATAACAGATGGTTGTAATATTTACCATCCCTACACGTATATTACGATAACACGTAAATGACACTAATCACGTTATATCAGAACCAGAATTCGTGCCACAAAATAGAGAACCAGATTAATACAAGAGAGTATTTTATTCAATACAGTCACAAACACTCACACACAGTAAGTTCAGAATAGAAATCAATGAGAGGAAGGATAATCACATACTTAATATCAGTGTGGGATTGTGGAGACAACTAAGTTTTTGATTAAGATCAGGAATCCATGAATATTAGACCACCACTGAAAACCTGCTAGCACCGGGTGGCCGAATCGTCCTAAAATAGGATTCGAACTCAGGGTCTTTAGTCTCGCGCGCGAATACTTAACCTCTAGACCATTGAGCCAGCATCATACGGTGTCAATATCTAACTTTGAATTCCGCGTGGGGGATTGTGGATGTACACTGCTGAGGAGTCTCATACTAGGACGAAGCGGACGTCCAATGCTTCCAGGTTTTCAATGGTGATCTAACATTCATCAATTTGTGACCTCAATCAAAAATATATTGAATATTCCGTAGGCTGTGACTGTTTTTCCATGTTCAACGACCAATCGTACTTTACTTTCACTACTACACATCAAGTAATAATGATAACGATAATAACACGTTATAGTCTCTCAACTATCATATTGTTTGACCAATTATTTGAGAGTCACCTGTTTTAATGAAGATAAAACTAAATTATCTTTAACCATTATTAATAATCTTTGTAAAACTTTTACGACACAAAAGAAAGTATCATCAGGAAGCGTATTTTATAAATTTCTATTGTTACTTACTTCATATATTGAAAAACCTATAGCCACATAATCTCCGCCATATAAAAGTCTTCTGTATTCTTGCATAACTCCTACGATGATATGTGTTTTAGTAACTTTAGCATTGTGGTCAGCTCCAATTTTAAATAAATACTGTGGATTTGTACAGAACGATTCTGTATAATAAATTTGTATTAAATTATTTTGATAAATCATCATTTATACATCTCATGAAACAAGATAGATCATGTATGATAAAAGTGTTTAGATAAGTCTACTTTTGATAGGATTATTAAGATAGATTTCGCTGAGAATTTTATCTGTTGAATACATATATGAGGGTGGTAGATTTTTAATAACTTTGATATAAGTTCTATCGATAACCTGGAACTCAGTACTAAACAAATGTTTACAATGATTATGTGTTACCAGCAGTTAAATATCAAACGTATAGTGATAAGAATTAGAACCTACTTTTTAAAAAAGTGAAGGTAGATTTGGGCAAGTTAGTTATTTAACTTTCAATCTACAACCTATTGATGCAAAGGCTTCTGCTTTAATATCAACTAAATAGTGTTCAAAATGAAGCTTATGTATGAAGAAGTCATATATAGGTAGTTTGTATATATACTGTTAACTTTTGAATTTGATTGCATGACTGGGCTATATTAGTAACTTAAGAATAGTATATGAATGTTAAACTGATAATATTTACTTATCGATGTCATGCACTAACTTGTTTAATGGTATAAACAAAATTACCTGGATAGTTAAATGATCCTCCAGCATTTACATTCGCAACCCATTCACCAGCAAAACATATTTCCTCACATCTTTTCTTTTTGTCGATTTCATCTCTGTGGTCTAAGCTTGCGTATCCAAAATGACATATTTCAAGTAGAGTGAAATTATTTTCAAAATCGTCGAACGACATCCTAAAATGTAGTTGGCATTTCGACAACCAAAACACAAAACTAAGCAATTAAAATGCATTATTGGTCCATATATATATATATATATATATATATATATATATATATATATATATATATATATATATATATATATATACTTACGCCTGTTACGCCAGGTGGAGTAGCATAAGCCACCCACCAGCATTCTCCGTCCAACTCTGTCCCAGACAATCCCTTCCAGCTCTTTCCAGTTGTTATTCATCCTTTTCAAATCTGTTTCCATTTCCCGACGTAATGTGTTCTTTGCCTTTTCTATTTACAGCTTCCCTTCAGGATTCCAAGTTAAGGTTTGTATCGTGATGCAGTTTGATGATTTGAGTAATGTATGTCCTATCCACCAACTCCATCGTCTCTTTCTAATTTCCTCTTCAACTGGAAGATGGTCTGTTCGCTCTCGAAGAAGGCTGCTAATGATGATATCCGACCAATGGATGTTGAGTATCTTGCGAAGACAACTATTTATAAATACTTGTATCTTCTTGATGATGGTTGTAGAAGTTCTCTAGTTCTAGTTTCAGCTCCGTACAGTAGAACTGACTGTATTGATATTGGTTGAAAGTTGCTTTTAGTTTCATATGTTCTTCAATTGTAGGAATGCGGCCCTTGCTTTGTCAATCATCGCCTTTGCGTCTGTATCTGATCCTCTACGTTCATGGACTATGCTGTCCAGGTACGTGAATGTCTTCACATCTTCCAGAGCTTCTCCATCAAGTGAGATTGGGTTGGTGTTCTCAGTGTTTTATTTGAGGATCTTGCTTTTTTCGATGTGTATGTTGAGACCTCCTGATTCAGAGGCTTCGGTTATACTAGTTGTCTTCATCTGCATTTGTTCGTGTGTATGGGATAGAAGAGTTAGGCCATCTGCGATGTTCGGATCGTCTAATTGTTTCTGAGCTGTCCATTGTATTCCGTGCTTCGCCTCAGATGTCGTGGTTTTTATAATTCAGCCAACCACCAAAAGAAAGAGGAAGGGGAAGAGTAGACATTCTTGTCACTTGAAATGCATCTGTCAGCTGTTCTTCGTCGTTTGAGTTCCGGATAATGTTGACAGTCTTCTCAGAAACTCCATAGTGTCGAGGGAGGTTTCATAACATTCTGTTATCTACACTGTCAAACACCTTTTCATAATCAATGAAGCTGATGTATAGTGACGTGTTCCGCTCAACTGACTGTTCGACGATGATCCGTAGTTTCGCATACAATTGCACTTCTAAAAGCTACATTTCTCAAGGAAGGAATATCTTACTTCGAAGAAATAAATATACTCAATAAAAATCATGCATCTCTTCTGTGTAATAACTTGTGAACTAATTGATGTTTGCTGGTTAGTGTACGTTATCAGTATCACACCAAATATATATATTTAGTCTCATTCCGTCAGTATATTGGTATCGTTACTCTCGTTTTCTTTTATTGTATCAATTATTTCAGAACATTACGATCAATGATTTCTATTTATTATATAATTAGAAATACGTAGTAATGTATGATACACATATCATCAATTTACAGAATAACTTTAAATAAAATGAAAGCATAACTCTTCGATAAAAAGGAGCTCGGACAGTCCCAAAATACATTGATTCAGTTGAATAATTCTTTTTCATTAAACTGTTTTAAAAATGACATAGTCTGGTTATTATATAATTTTTTTGTGTAACAATTAAGTAATAGGTCACTTTAAACAATCAAATCATAGACATCATTGGTTTAAATTTATAACAAATAAGTTATAGCCCTGGTGTAATTTAATATTAAAGTTTTTTTTGCAAGTACCTGAAGAGTAATCAAATCTTTCAGTATACAATATAACTATCACTTGTAATGATCACTAAGATTTTTGTTTCCTTAAATCTTCTTCTTCATCGCTTCATATATATTAAATTACAATGGAATGAATCAATTATCTGGTTTCGAGTTATGTTGGATTAATATTCTGTTCTCATTTATGCAACTATCAAGAATGAATGAAGTAATTTCCTATTGTTAACTCCTTTATCAAATTGTAAAAACTTAAAAGTTATTTGGAATTAAAACTTTCGATAAAGTTTAAAAGAATGTAGCCAAAAAATTAAATTGACAATTTAATTAAAGAAGGAACGAATCAAGCAAAGAAATTTCTTTTCAATTAGTTTTTCATTATGATTCGATTCATTCCTTCTTTATTTACTAAAATGTTAAAATGGGACAATTTAATTGACACAAATCTGTAATTACGTTAAACAGTAAAATGGTATTTGATATTATACTAGTTTACTTCTAAGTTGAAATCAAACATTATTATTATTATTATCCTTGTCTCCTCTGACACCATTTCCAGTTTAATTGACCTTTTATTTTCATATATAAATGTTCTTAGCACGTATATGTGTGATCAGATTGTTCGAAATGTATTACGCTATTATTTCACATTGTTCTGATAATCTTCGTCTTCTGATTACATAATCGAAAGATGAACGAGCCATAAAGTTGATATAGTTAATAAAGAAGTGTTCAGGTTGTTATTAAATGTAACTCAGTATAAGAGTAATGAAGTTTATTAACATCACCAAATAAATCAATTTATAGCTTTTTGTTTTTCCTAACATTGAATTGGCAAGCTTATAAAAAATGAATCTTTACTGAATGTATATTTTGTAATGATCTAACATCAAGAAGCTTATATATTCAAATCTTTACTTAAATTGGTTTGATCTATATAGTTCATTGAATTTACTATGAATATGATACCTGACAATTACAAATGACTAAAAAATAATGAATTAATAAAAGACTGAACAAAATAGAAATATGATGAATAGGTTTTATTTTATTAGTATATTACCAGAATTCTCCATCTTCTTTTGATTTATACTGTAAAGCTTTCTTATCTTTAGATTTGACATTTTTCCATTCAGGTGAATTATCTGACCAAGATCCTTTCCATTCATGTTTTTCTCCCCAAGGATTACGACAACGTACTAAATGCACTTCTTTACCGAGGTAATTAACCTTTAATATATTATAAATAAAGAATAAGAAATGATGATAATAATAATAATAAGGAATTCAATACTTGAGTATTCATGATTATCAGTATAATTAGTGTATATACTTGTAAATCGATTGTTTAAAAAATTACGGCTTAATTTTGACCTCAATTTTCAATTTTTGATGTACTCTAAATAAAGTATGATCTACTTCAGAGAGAATGAGACACTAAAAAACTAAGAGAAATCAAGAGCTAGATATATAAACTTGTTGTTCATTCTTTCAAGTTACGAGACTGTGTACTACCAGACTTGATGACTGAAAAGTTGTCTAACCCATGTGATTGCTTTTAGCGTTGGTGAGTCCTCTTGTATGGTCTCTTGTTATGTTAATCCAATATACCTCATACTAGCTTCTGAACATGCCGATTTTTAATCCTTTTTGAGTCACATTTTGACTTTGTTGATTATGCACTTATCAACCTTGACTATTTTTACATGAGCACATATGTGTGTACACTTCGTATTCTATTCAATACATGTCTGTAACTTATTTTTATCTGAATATAAATATTGATTGACACTTGAATAAATTGATTTGGCTCATATGCCTTCTCCACAGCGCATCATTTCGTTTCTCCTTGTTCTTTTGATTGTCTGCCTGGATCAATGATTGTACAAAATATACGCATTCGAAATCCTTTCTCGTATTTCACATATTTTAATTCCGTTATCTACCGACGTGATTTTAGTCGATAGGCGACATATGTATTTCAATAACAATCATTCATACGATATAACTGGAGTCAGATCCTGGGCCACAAATGCGGTGAGTACATCGACAACATCGTCCGATTTAATTGACGTCAAAATGAAGGGTTTCACTAAACTCTTAACTAAGCAGTTTATGTATCAGTAGTTGCTTAATTTTTTGGTTTTATTTACTTTTAACACAGACTAGGCTGATTAGAGATTTTTGTGCTTTAGTTATACAGTTCGCATAAAATAAGGCTTCCTTCGATTACGGATAGAGTTTACATTATTATAAATCATAATAAATAAAGATTAATTCATTCCAATCACAATTATTATGATGATTAACTATAAGATAACTTACTTTCCCAACCCCAGTTACACTATAAGCATGAGAACCTATCAGTCCCATTTTTTCTCGTCTTTTATTTTTATCTCCCTAAAATAGATCAAATACAAGAGGAGATTGTAGCAAAAGATAAAAATATATTCCGATGAATGTACTTTTTGTAGGAATCAATCGACCACTCAAATGGTCCTTAGAACAAAGATCGGTTTTGGTATTAACGGTAGAGTTAGGAATAGGATTTCTAACTATTTCAATTACATGCGTAACTGTAAAGAGTTCTTCAGGGGACGATTATAAGTCGTTTCATTTTTTTCTTTATGAAAATGACCTATCGAGAGTGAAAATGCCATTTATGAGCGAAACTAAAGTGTAGACACTCATTCATAGCAGTCACAGAGAGGTATAAGTGCTCTGAATAAGTGGGGGGATAGATAGTCGTTAGAGGCGAATTCCAGCAAGGTGTTGTTTCACGAATGGAGTTGTGACAAGTTATGCAACTACACAATGAACGAAATCTTTTCACCTGGTTTTATTGATTCTGAGTATTTGGGAGTCATAGTAAGTGATGATCTTAGAACCACGGTGTACAGTTGCCACAGGCTTTCAGATCTTGTAGGTAATTTGTGAAGCTTTTCAGCACTTGGATGAATATATTTGCTGAATATTTTACCCAACTCATACGTGTTGTAATTTGGGATATGAAGTCCAGATAATAGGTTCATGTTTAAAAAATGGCGAGGATATACTAGAACGGGTTCAGCGCCGATCTTTCCGATCCGACATAGGTTTCGAGGAGATGCGATACTGACTCGCCATTGACTGAATGATGAATAAGGCGTCCTTGTTTTTTGTATATCTAGAACCAATCATCTAAGATTGGGTTTTCAGAAAACTCAAAGGCAAGATTGAATCGTTTGCATCTCAAGTTTCGTTTCTCATATCGATTCATATACTATTAGGATTCTCGACCAGAACATAAGTTACTGAAAAATAGTAAATTACTGTGGTTTGGTATTGATTTTATCAAAACTCCCGTGAAGAATAATTTAGCAGATATACTTAAATTGTGTCAGGTACCTAATTTGCAAACACTTGTATCAGAATTCATCTAACCGTTGTCAAAAGACAGCTACAGACTTAAGTTACCCAAAAGAATAACTAACACCAACATCAGCACCCAAAATACAACATGTTTTTGTGTAGTGTTCCATCATTTTAAATAAGTTTGGTGGACGTTCTTTTTGATTCAAAATAACAGTAGTACATATTCCGCCAGTAAAATCCTCCATCGCTTCACTTTGAAATCCACCAGTTAGATGTGCATAACTACCGCATAATCTGTACAGGAACGGGAGAAAAAAAAGGTTCTAAACTTTAGAAAATTTTAAGGATAAATCACAAACAATATAAAATTTCATGTGAATGGTAAGTAGTCACATTAAACACAATATTGTAGTGGTAGTTTCTATTGACATAAAAAGCAGATGTAAAGTCATAAATCAATATCTTTTAATTATTCACCTTCTTTTGTAGGGTAACTTTTAAAATTATATGGCTTTATAAAAAAACTTGAAAAACTGAAAAATACATTACCTAGATTTTTAGAGAAAAAGTAGTTTAAGAAAAGAATTATCGAGGTAAACTATAGACTTGAATATAAACCCACTAAAGTTTATCCACTTTCGCATACATTAATGAAAATATTAGCCAGTCCGCCAGTTATCGTCAAATTAAAGCCCGAAAAAGCCGTACGTCAACTCAAGATGACAAACCAAATGATCACGACGAAATGAACTTAATGAAACGAATAACTAAATAGTCGAAATAAAGTAGTAATGGTAAAAAAGATTGAGGTTTGAGAGTATGTACTAAGAAAGTGGAATAAAGGGGTACTGGAAATTATGTTCTGGAGAATGATAAAGTAAATTTACGCAATTGAGACTGATTTTGAAATTTCTTCGAGCGTCTCCAACCACTAATTGCGGTTGTTTCGCCGACCCTAACCATGTAGTATAAATCTATTAACATGACTCAGATCAACTGTTAATGACTTCATGAGTTGGCGACAGATTTTGGTTTGGTCACCTTTAGCTTTCTTTCAGCCTACTCTAACAACATGTGATATCGTGTATCGAGGGAGGCGGTTGTTTGACACACATACATACATGGAAAACCTGGAAGCATTGGACGTCCGTTTCTTTCTAGTATGGGACTCCTCAGCAGTAAGCATCCACGATCCCGAACCCCGCGAGATTCGAACCCAGGACCTATCAGTCTCGCGCCAGGCGCTTAACCAACTAGACCACTGAGACGGAGTTCTCGTGAGAAGCCGTGTCCAGTGGAGCTTATTCGTGTCGGGTAGAAACAAGTGTCTTCCTCAGTACAATGGAAGATGGTTGCGCAATTCCGTGGATTGATTGAGGTTAGACATTAACACCACTGGATGCCGGCTCAGGGGTCTAGTTGGTTGATCGCCTGGCGGGAGGCTGACAGGTTCTGGGTTCGAATTTCGCGGAGTGCGGGATCGCGGATGCTCACTGCTGAGAAGTCCCATACTAGGGCGAAACGTCCGTCCAATGCTTCCAGGTTTTCCATTGTAATCTAGCTTCAGATGACTAATGATTTCAATCAAAAAATAATTTTGAATTAATTGTTTATAATTTTATGCTACTAGTAAGTAGTTCAAATGCAAATATAAGATTAGTATTATCCTTTGAACTTACTTGGCATATGCTTTTTCCAGTAGGCATGACCAAAACTCATTTGTATCTGTTGAATGCATGAATACTAAGTTACATGTTCCCTTAAGAACTGGTAGACGATCATCGATTACGACTTCCACCCACTCTCCAAAACGCCAAAAATTGAACACAAATGCTCCTGTATAAAGTGAACTTTTGAAAGTTTGATTTGACGGTATGATGTTATTCATCAATGCAGGATATTTCGTAATTGTAGCCATAACCGCACTGAACCAACAGTCACCTTACAGATAATCAAGAAAAATTGATCTAGTTAGGCTCTACTCAACACTTGCATAATAAAAATTCATAGAGTTCGATATTTTTCACAAATAATTCGACGTTGTTATCTTGGATAAATACAACATCATGTTTACCTACTTACTTACGCCTGTTACTTCCAATAGAGAATAAGCCACTGACCAGCATTCTTCAAGCCAGTTTGTTTTTAGCCTTCCTTTCCAGTTCTGTCCAATTCTTGTTCATTTTTCTCATGTCTATCTCCATTTCCAGGCGTAATGTGTTCTTTGTTCTTCCTCTTTTCTTTGTGAGGTCTTGCATTGTGGTGCAGTTCGGTGCTTTCCTCAGTGTATGTCCTATCCACTTACAGCGCTTCTTCATGATTTCTTCCTCCTCTGGCATCTGATTTGTTCCCTCCCACAGTTGGTTTTTGCTGATAGTGTCTGGCCAACGGATCCGAAGTATTTTGCCTAGAAAACTGTTAATAAACACCTGTATCTTCTTGTTCTCCATGTTTCCACTCATACAGTAGAACTGTCTTGACATTCGTATTGAAAATTCTGACCTTGGTGTTGGTTGACAGTTGTTTTGAGTTCCAGATATTCTTCAGTTGCAAATATGCTGCTCTTGCTTTACTGACTCGCACTTTCACATCTGCATCAGATCCACCGTGTTCATCAATAATGCTGCCCAAATATGTAAAGGTTTGTACAGCTTCCAAATCTTCTCCGTCAATTGTGACTGGATTGGTGCATGCTGTTTTGTATTGGAGAATCTTACTTTTCCCTTTGTGTATATTGAGACCTACTGCTGCTGATACTGCTGCTATACTGGTCGTTTTCTCCTGCATTTGTTATAGCGTGTGCAATAGAAGGGCGAGATCATCTGCGAAATCTAGATCGTTTAACTGCATCCTAGATGTCCATTGTATCCCATGCTTCCCTTCAGACGTTGACGTCTTCATGACCCAGTCGATCACCAGGATAAAGAGAAAGTGTGAGAGTAAGCAACCTTGCCTGACATCGGTCTTTACTTCGGATGGCTTTGTCAACTGTCCTCCGTGCACAATTTTGCAGTTTAATACATCATAAGAGTTCCTTAGTGTCGTCTTGTCTACGTCATCAAATGCTTTCTCGAAGTCAGTGAGGTTGATACAGAGCAGTGAATTCCATTCGATTGATTGTTCCACAATGATCCGTGAAGTTGCGATTTGGTCTTTACACGATCGATCCTTACAGAATCTAGCCCGTTGGTCTCGAAGTTTGGCGTCTACGGAGTCCCTCGTTCTGTTTAACAGTACCCTGTTGAAGACTTTTCCCGGTATTGAGAGAAGAGTGATGCCCCTGTAGTTATCACAGTTGCTGAGGTCGCCTCTCTTTGGTATTTTGACCAGAAGTCCTTCTTTCCAATCTCTTGGTACTTGTTCCTCATCCCAAATCTTATCGAGGAGAATGTAGAGTATCCTTGCAGTTACCACTACGTCTGCTTCCAGTGCCTTTGCTGGAATGTTGTCTGGTCCTGCCGCTTTGCCGCTCTTGATTTGTCTGATAGCCATTCTGATTTCTTCAATTGTTGGTGGGCTAACATCGATTGGGAGGTCCATGTGTGCTACTTCGATGTTGGGTTGGTTAAATACAACATCATGACCTGTTTGATATTCAGATAGCCAAAAGTGGAACAAAGTATATCAAACGAATTATGACATGCGTTTCTAAGTTATCAAATACGTATTTGTCTTAGCTTATTTGGTTTGTTCCGTGTTTCAGTATTATTTTTTCAAGTATTCGTCCACACTTTCTTAAAGGTTTCATCTGGTAAAAGCTGATTAACAAGCAATGTCTGAAGCGTGTAAGAAACTGATGTTTTTATTTAAAAGGCTGAATGTCACTTGAGTTGATGGTCACTGCATTCATTAATTCAATTACTTACTGACATTTCCAAGGTAAAAAAGGTAAACAGGAAGCATGATCTTACCAAGAGCACCTTGATCAACATCAAAACGAGAATAAGATTTTGTACAAAAAGCTGCATAAGGATTAATATCCTAAAATGTAAAACAACAAAAATTACGATGTAACAAACGAAATAAAATTTACATTGATAAAATGAGTTTTATCTAGTTCTATGCACCCATAAATGATAGCAGTGAAGAGAGTTTTGAGTCGATCGTAGTAAAGTGTCCAGGAAACGACCTGACCATCCTGATATGAGACTTGAACTCCAATGTCGAAATGAACAACGCCAGGTGCCAAGATATCATGGGAGGACATGGACTGACTGGGAAAAAGGGACGAAACTGGTTACAGATTTGCAGATTTATGTGCCTCTAACAACCTGGTTATAGGTGACACCAACTCATACACAAACCTACATGGGTCTCACACTACACAGAACAAGATCGAACATAATTCAATTCATGGAAGATTCAAAATATCATTGCAAGATATGAGAACCAGGAGAGGGGCTGACCTAGTTCCGGATCACCACCTGGTATTTGTCAAGATGAAACTGAAGCTCAATAAGCACTGGAAAACAGGAGAAACAGAATTACTAAAGTTCAATACAGACTTCTTTCAACATACTGACAAACTCAACGAATTCAAAATAAATCTCAACAACAGGTTCCAAGATTTTCAGGATCTTCTGAAATAAGAAGAAACCACGATGGAGAACAAAGGGACATGGATCACTGCAGCACCCACTTCATAGTGTCAGGAGACTTTGGGTCGCATAAAGCATCATCACGAGGAATGGATCTCTATCGAAAAACAGGATAGGATTCAAGAAAGGAGGAACGCCAAGACAGCAATTAACAACAATCGAACAAGAGCGGGGAGGTTCAAGGCACAATCTGAATACACTGGAGCAAACAAGTAAGTGAATAGCAGCATTTGAGCTGGCGAGCAGAAATATGTGGAGGACAGAGGATAAAACTGTAAGAGAAGGAAATATGAAACGCCTATATGACACATTGAAGAAACTGGTGTGGAAATCTAGTGAACCAGAGAGACCGAACAAGGACTAAGAAGACAAGCTAATCACTGACATTCAAGGACAGATGAACACGTGGGTAGAACACTGAGGAATTCCCGTAGGGATCAGCCGCACTCAACCTACTGGACAGCAAGGCAGTACACACAGACCTACCTATAGATCTCACCCTGCCAACGATCGAAAAAATCAGGATGGTCATCAGACAAATCAATTGTGGGAGAGCAGCAGGACCAGACGACATATCAGCTGAAGCAATGAAGTTAGATATGAAAGTAGCTACGAACATCCTCCACGTTCTATTCAGGAAGATTTGGTAGGAAAAATAAGTGCCGAAAGATTTGAAGGAAGGATGCCTCATCAAGATACCAAAGAAGGGAGATTTGGGCAAATATGAGATCCACGGAGGAATCACACTATTGTCAGTACCAAGAAAAGTTTTCAACAGAGTGTTGTTGAACCGGACGGGGACTCAGTGGACGCCTAATTTCGATATCAACAGGCTGGGTTCCGTAGTGATAGTCCGTGCACAGACTTAAAGGCGACACTGTGGATCATCATTGCGCAATCAGTTGAGTGGAACTCGTCACTATACATAAACTTCCTTGAATATGGGATGGCGTTTGACAGTCTAAGTAGCAAAATAATATGAGACCCTTTTCGACACCACTTTACACTCGAGAATATTGCCGCCATCATGTGGATATAATATGAAGGATTGCACCGAAAAGTTGTGCTTGAAGGATAGCATCTCAAGTGAAGAACTGTGTCAGATAAGATTGTTTACTCTCACCCTTCCTCTCTTTTCTGGTGGTCGACTGAATTATGAAAACCTGCACATCTCAGGGAAAGCATGGAATAACGTATGTTCCTTGGATGCAACTAGGCGATTCGAACTTCGCACGTGACCTAGCTCTTCTATTCCATATACCGAAACAAATGTAGGTGAAGACAGCCAATGTGACAGCAGTTTTTACAACGATAGGCCAAAATTATAGCCAGAACCTTCAATGCAAAAGTCGGGATAGTTCTGTTGTATGGAACTGAAACTTGGGGAACTACTGCAGGCATAATCAAAAAGTCCAAGTATTTGTGAACAAATGTCTACGCAAGATGCCCGATGTCCGTTGACCCGGTACCAAAATCAGTGACCCACTGTGGGAGAGAGCAAACTAAATTCTAGATGAAGCTGAGACTAAAGAAAACACCGAAGGTGAATAGGACACACATTGTGGAAATCACCAGACTGAGTAACGAGGCAAATCTTAATTTGGAATCCTGAAGGCAAAGAGAAAATAGGCAGATCAAAGAACAACTTAAACTAGGATCTTGAGACAGACATAAAGAGAATTAATAGCACTTGGAAATTACTGTAATGGATTGCATAGAACAGAGTTGGATGAATAATGATGATGGAAGGCCTATGCTCTTCCACGAAGGGTGACCAGAGTAATCAATCGACGGTATATGGCTGTAGAGGCTGTTGAATTATAATTAAGATCATTAACCGATCAATGTTAGAACAACACTGAAAACCTGAAAGCATCAGTTAGCTGTTTCGTCTAGTATGGGACCCCTCATCCTTGTGCATCCATGATCCCATACGTGGGATTTAAACTCAGTCTCGCGCGCCAACGCTTGACCTCTACATCGGTGAGCCGGGATCCGACGGTGTTCAGCCAATCTACGATGTCACGCAACCATCCTCCATTGTCCTCTGTGAGTAAATGCCTCTCATTCGGCACTGGTCAAACGCTTATCACTAGGACTCTGAAAATTATCTCTTGAAGTTAGTCACTAGTGAGCACATGATAATTATTTGTATAGTGTTTTGAAGGTTTTTTGAGATTTAATTGAGATCATGAACCAATCATTTAATTCAATATGGTGTTAATAAGACTAAACATAGAAATGTCTTTTAATCTTTACATCAAATACTGTCAAGACTTCCTTCTGAGGTTTTTAGGAGATTTAGTGGTCTAGAAGTATCGATTCTGATTACAATCCGTTGTTAACTAAATAATTTCGCTAGGCTTTTTATTTTCACAGATAATCTTTTGTTGCTATTATATATATGATTGTATAGCTTGATAATGAAGTCGTTGGAAAGAAATTCTTTAGCTAAAATTCGTATTCCTAATGTTTGAATCCGATTTATATGTCTGTTGATCGTGATGTGTTACCAATCAAGGATTTGTTCGCATTATACATTTGTTTTGATAATCGACGATATAAATATAATGGAAAGAGCGATGTGGTAACTAGTTATTCCTACCATATTGGGTTATACTTTCTTTTTTCTGCTTCTCATATTTGCAGTTGTCACAATTTACCCATTAAATTAACCCTTGTTTGTTCTTATATACAATAATGTAATGGAAGAATTTATCCCCAGCATTTTAGTTAATATATTGCACAAACACCCTAAATGTTTAAAATTAAATTTGTCATCTCATTTACATAAAGTGGATGACTGCAAAAATAACTTAACATTTATGTTGTTAGTTGATGACGATAAGTTTACATCACAGGTTCAGTTCAAACTATCTACATAATTCAACAAACCAGTCCACATTCAATGTTTCTGTAGAATTAGATTACAGTTTCTTCATGAGGTGTTTTATTAATCTATAACGCTGGTGATTTACGTATCTTATTAAAAATTAATTAGATCATTTGAAGCAAACAATCGTAGATATCGTTAACCTGATAAAGTAAATTTAATGACTGCTATTGAGTATCAGATATAAGAAGTTTATATTTATAATTTTGACTTAACTGATTAGAAGCGTATTAACAGATTTAATTGTGAATTCCATATCATACAGACTTACTTACGCCTGTTACCTCTCGTGGGGGAGTATAGGTCACCCACCAGCACTCTCCATCCAACTTTATCCTCCACTCTCCTATCCAGTTGTTTCCAGTTCCCATTCATCCTTTTCTGCTTCTGATTCCCAACTTGGTGTGTTTTTCAGCCTTCCTCTTTTTCGTTTTCCTTTGGGACTGCAAGCTGGAGCTTGTTTCGTGATGCACTTTGGTGATTTTCACAAATATGTCCTATCCAATTCCAAAGTCTTTTCCTAACTTCCTCTACATATGGAACGTAGTTTGTCCTCTCCTATAGTAGGCTGTTGCTAATAGTATCAGACCAACGATCATTCAGTATCTTGTGTAGACAATTGTTTATAAATACTTGTACATTTTCGATGACGGTTGAGGTAGTTCTCGATGTTCCAGCTCAACACAGTAAAAGTGTTTTCACGTTCATATTGAAGATTCTCACTTCGATATTGATTGACAGTTGTCTCGAGTTCCATATATTCTTCAACTGTAGGAATACTGTCCTTGCTCTGCTAAACATTGACTTCACATCTGTATCGCATCCTCCTCGTTCATTGATGACGCTACTCAGATAAGTGGACGCTTTCACAGCTTCCAAAGACTCTCCATCAGGTTTGATTGATTTGGTTCTCTCAGTGTTGTATTTGAGGATCTTGCTTTTTTCGATGTGTATGTTGAGGTTTACCAATGTAGAGACTGCTGCTACACTATCTGTTTTGACCTGCATTTGTTCGTATGTATGGGATAGAAGAGCTAGGTCAGTTGTGAAGTCCAAATCGTCTAGCTGCATCCAAACTGTCCATTGTATTCCGTGTTTCCTCTAAGATAAACAGGTCTTCATAATCCTCCAGTTGACTATCAGATGAAAGAGGAAGGGGGAGGGTAAGCAACTTTGTTCAACTTAGGTCGTTCCACCAAATGCGTCTGTCAGCTTTTCTCCAAACACGACTTTGCAGTGCAGTTCGTCGTAAAAATTCCGGAGGATGTCGACAACCTTCTCATTTACTCACTTCAGAGGTTCGAAGAAGTTTCCATAATGTTCTCCTGTCTACACTGTCAAACACCTTTTCATAATCAATGAAGTTGATGTATAGTGACGAGTTTCCCGCAAATGATTGTTCAATAATGATCCATAGTGTAGTGATTTGGTCTGTGCACGACCGATCCTTACAGAATCCAACCTGTTGATCTAGAAGTTGGGTATCTACTGAATCTTTCATCTGGTTCAGCAACATTGTTGAAAACGTTTTCTGATACTGCCAGTAATGTGATGCCTCTGTATTTCTCACATTTGCTCAGATCTCCTTTCTTTGGTATCTTGATGAGTTGTCCTTCACATCGTACAGAGTTCGTTCAATAATCCATAAATAAAGTGGTTGAAATATGTGCACATTTGTCTAAACATTTATTTCAATGGATGGGAGCTTTTCGGCTTTTAATGATTGTAAAGAATGGGAAAAAACCTAATCGTTTTTTGTTCTTTAGAACTAAAATATATTTTCCTTACAGTAATCAACTAAAAGGAACATGTAGTTTGTCCAATAAATAAAAGATATAATGTAGTGAAAACTTTATGAAACTCAGGGTACATTTATCTCGTCTCCTTTAGAACACATAAAAATTTATGACAAAATGCTTGCTCATTCCCATTTCTATTGATTAAAACATTCCTATATGTCTTAAAGAGTTGATATCTTCCGCTGCCTTGTCACTTTATGATTCGTTGTCTACTTATAACGTCTTAACACTGGGTATAAAATCAAATCTCATGAAGCTGCCTATAGAATACAGAGGATGATTTAGAGTTATGGGAAACAACTGAATGTGTAGACTGATTACTGAATGTTTGATAGACTTCGAACCTACCAAGAAATTAAAACTATCATTAGTTATTAGTTCAGTGAAGATAGATCACTTAGGTGAGATCGATATAGATTGATTTTCACATAGGTATAATCCAATTTGTAGTTTATTTAGCTATATATATATATATATATATATATATATATATATATATATTATATATATATATATATATATATATATATATATATATAAATATATATTATATATAATATATAATATATATATATATATATATATATATATATATGTATATATATATATAGTTAGAAATGACCAAACAGGAACATACTTTAGGTCTTTTCCATTCTATTTTGCCCAAAACTTGTTGCAAGTCTCCAATTGAATTATTATTTGCTGGAAAATCAAGATCTTCATAAAGTCGTTTTGCTTCCATCATTTTGGCTGAAATAATTTCATACTGACTAATTTTTATGTTTCTCATCTCAGTAGGCTATATACAGAATAAATAAGAATGTTTCCAAATGATTTATTCATCGTGATGCTTACGAATTTTTAGATAGTTAAAATTAAACGTTGTAAACGTCACAATCTGAAAGCTCATATTTCATACCCGTTTATTAACTTAAAATACACCAGTGTATGTTATAATCTGTTTCTAGTAAACATTGAAGTATAGTGAGCGAGTAAGTCAGGAAATGTTAACCCAGGTTTCTTTCGATTTACTCGTTATATACCTAATTGTTCCACTCATAGTTTTTAAACAGCCTACTGATACCAAGGTGATATGGATTATTCATGTTTTGTGACCTGGTGTGCCATACTGTCTAGGCATATCAAGTGAGTTAAGGTAGATCTAAGATTCATTTTTATTCCGTATATTGATGATTAATATATATTTATGCGTATGTAATGTATGTGATTGAATCGGACTTCATAATTGTAGTAAATAATGTAACAAGAATAGTTGTTCAGTACCCTTAAGGCCGACTTGAAATAATGGACTACAGACACGTATATACAACATGAAATGGCCTGGCATAAACATTGCTTGATATGCCGTCGAAAGTGTATCAAATTGATGTATGTTGATATTAGGACAACAATAACGTCTAAGTTTATGCCTCCAAAGTGAATATATGTTTTTCTGTAAATAATTTCAGCTAGGTAAACAATCATTTTTAAACGAAATAAATTAATTATAAATAACTTACACTTGCGTAAGTTGTTTCACTTTTCGAACAAGGAGTAAAACCATTTGAACTGTTTGCACAGTCGAGAAATATCTGTCTGTACACACAACCAGCCATGGAATCAGCTTTTCCATCAGAATGAGGGATGCATGGTGATGTTAATTTCTCATGCAGCTAAATCATTAAAAAAGTAAATGGTAATATCATTTAAAGTTGTGATTTAGATAAACAGCAATTAAGTCAGAAAAACATTGAAAGTAAATAATTTACTGGCCAATGTTAGTACGAGTTGATGATTTTACATTCTTATAATTCAAAACTGCAGTTGATTAGTTTCAATTGGGATATGTACTTCCTTAGAGGATCGCCTTGATTTTAATGTACAGTCATAATAATCTCTTGGTGATTTAAGGATCCTGATTAAATATTCGAAGGCAATTACTAAATTGGATAAACAATCATCTTTGATAACTTTCTCTCCCTGCTTTTAAGTTATGGATTTACAAATATTTCATATTTGAAGTCAGGATAGTGTAACACATAGATGTTTTGTTAAAATAAATTAATGTTGTATATATATTGTTGGTGTTTGAATAACTCACCGTTTTCCACGGTGGTCTAGCCTCAATTGACTCATGACGTTAACTATTGAAATTTCTAAATACATTTAATTATTATTTTCCTAATTATCAATGGCTTAAGATAATTTATTTATTTGACTTGAATTATCATCATATTCTATTTTGATTTTGTTCACGTCAATGAACTTTATGGATTTAAATAAAAATATCATATTCTTGATCCGATCAATTATTATTTGATCTTGAATCCATTTTTGTGATACAATTGTTTCTATCCTCCTATAGACATATATTTTCCATATAACTATATATATATATATATATATATACGAATGTACAGCTTAAGTAAATGATTTCGTCGAAAAGAAAATTTTCTTCGATGAATTCTCTTTTTCATATTCAATAACGCTATGGATTATTTTAATTATCCGATCAATTAATTGTTTTCAATTTAACTTACCTTTGCATAACCTTTCGGAGTAATTGACCATGGTATATGTAAATTAAATTGTAGTCTTTTCTCTGTTAATGTTGGTTTAAGTATATCCACTATAGGTTGAAAAACAAAATAGAAAAAAAACTTAATTACAGATTCATAAAATTTAGTATATTTGAATTAGAATTAATTGAAATAATCTATTTGAAATAGGGAAGAATATGAAAGTTGTAAAAGCTTCATTTAAAATGCATCAAAGTTACTCATTCACATTATCAATTGAGGTCAAATTCAGGAAACCTAAATCATATATAAGTTACATAATAGTTTTTAAATTCGATTGTCAGTTTTGTAAATATTAACTTAAATAATGTGCAATCAACTATTAAAAAAAATAAGATACCTAATAAGAGTATATCTGTCTAATTATTATCGTGTTTAAACAAATAGTACATTGATGAAAGGGTTATCTATTCAAAATAGTCATGAAATAATAGTGAGAACTTCAGTATTCTCTGATTTAGGTAACGGTGATAAGGATATAAATCAAAATCGTGCATGGAGGACAGGTCATAAACTCGTTCGAAGTAAAGACCGGTGTCAGACAAGGTTGCATATTCTCATCCTTTCTCTTTCTTCTGGTGATCGATTAGATCATGATGTCAACATCTGAAGGGAAACACGGGATACAGTGGACATCTAGGATGCAGTTGGACGATGTAGACTTCGCAGACGATCTGACCCTCCTATCGCACACGCAACAATAAATGCAGGAGAAAACGACCAGTATAGCAGCAGTATCAGCAGCAGTAGGTCTCAATATACACAAAGGGAAAAGTAAGATTCTCCAATACAAACAGCATGCACCAATCCAGTCACAATTGACGGAGAAGATTTGGAAGCTGTACAAACCTTTACATATTTGGGCAGCATTATTGATGAACACGGTGGATCTGATGCAGATGTGAAAGTGCGAGTCAGTAAAGCAAGAGCAGCATATTTGCAACTGAAGAATATCTGGAACTCAAAACAACTGTCAACCAACACCAAGGTCAGAATTTTCAATACGAATGTCAAGACAGTTCTACTGTATGAGTGGAAACATGGAGAACAAGGAGATACAGGTGTTTATTAACAGTTTTCTAGGCAAAATACTTCGGATCCGTTGGCCAGACACTATCAGCAAAACCAACTGTGGGAGGGAACAAATCAGATGCCAGAGGAGGAAGAAATCATGAAGAAGCGCTGTAAGTGGATAGGACATACACTGAGGAAAGCACCGAACTGCATCACAAGACAAACCCTCATACGGAATCTTGAAGACCAACGGAAAAGAGGAAGACCAAAGAACACATTACGCCTGGAAATGGAGACAGACATGATAAAAGTGAACAGGAATTGGATGAAACTAGAAAAGAAGGCCCAGGACAGAGTGGGTTGGAGAATGCTGGTCGGCGGCCTATGCTCCATTGGAAGTAACAGGCGTAAGTAAGTAAGATAAGGATATAAAGATTACAGCTTTTATGATTTCATATTTGTAACAAAACAAAAACATTTATCCTTACATTAGTGTTTATAGCATGATTCATTGCAGTAATTAATTATTCTGAATGTTAACTTTCAGCCATAATTTTCAACTATCAGTCTGATGAAAATTAACGTTCAGTACAGTGTTCTGTTTATAAATTGGCTTGTCTCACGTTTATGTGTGTAGCAGTTTGGTTTTAGTAGCAGCTGAAATATCTTACTGATGACAACACTAACTGTGACATCATATAGTGTGAAAATTATTAAATACACCGCCTTCATGATGAATTCTATCACTAATAAGACTTAATGAGTTTATAGGTAATAATACCAAGGTTGAACGTGATAGTTTCAAATAAATTGAGAATCAGAGTAGATAGTTAATAATACATATATGTTTTGTAATATATACAGATGAGTAGAAAACTCATATTTCTGGCGCTTCGTAACTAAATGTAAGTCACACGAGAAACATTAATTTTTTACTCATTGGTATTGAACAAAAGATATATTCATTGATATGACTTGAGTTCAGAGATTATTGTCAATCCCTCCGAACAAAAAAAATAATACAATATTAACTCAGTGGGTATCAACTTCTCTAGTTGTATATACGCTTTCTTCATATCTTCATTTATTCTATACCGTTAATTGGGGATTATCATATATTTCATTGAGTTAATTTGTTTAAAAGACAAAATATAACAAACATTTTGTTGTACAAAATCTTTAGACATATGTAGAAAAGATTCCACTTACTATAATTCGATGGAACTCCAGTCATCTCAGTTTCTGCATCACTAATCTGCTTTTTACGTCTCATATGAATCTAAAATATAGGATAATGAGTGAAAATTTTCAGTACAGCAAATAATGCCTCATAAGAAGTTTACTTTTGAACATACCATCATATAAGGTTCTATATGGCTTAATAGTTAAATAGTGTTACCTCATTAGTGTATGTTAATCATCCGTTATAAAATATATCGGCGTAGCCATATATTTGACTGTAAGCTGATTAACAAATTAACATCATTATTTTTCTTATACAAACGTGTCTCCATGTGCTTTAAAAATATTCTTTTAAAATTTTAGCATATAATATCGTTAACATTCATACACTCTACCGCTCTCTAATACTTTCATACTTGTCTTTGCTATTCTACTAATCATCACTGATATGACATAAAGTATGTACATCGATTATCAACAATTGTTACTTTTTATATGTATATTGGTTGTTTGAATATATCCATCTGATGAGTACCAGATAGGATAAACGCGTGTCTTGGATTACATTGATATTAATTATAGCGTGAAACTACAGATATCCATTTGCTTTTAGATATTTATCGTATAATGAAATTATGATCCCGTCCTTTTTGGTTTGCTCGTATCTTTGGTATATATTACGCAAATCATCAAACTGCACCACGAGGCAAGCCCTAACTTGGAATCCTGAAGGGAAGCGGCGAGGAGGAAGGTCAAAGAACACATTAAGTCGAGAAATAGAATCAGATATGAAAAGGATGATTAACAACTGGAAAGAACTGGAAAGGATTGCCGAGGACAAGGTTGGGTGGAGAGTGCTGGTGGGCGGCCTGTGCTCCTCCACGAGGAGTAACGGGCGTAAGTAAGTAAGTAAGCAAGTAAGTAAATAAGTTTTATCTTTCGTGCTGCTATTACATTAGATAATCTTTTATCAGGAAACCTTTGTAAAGTATTTTTTATCACTCTTATAACTTTATCCCATGAACTAGGAGTCATTCTTAACATATATTCGTATAAGCACAAATGTACAGCTATGAAAACTAGTGCGTTTGAGTATTCATTTATTTACCGAAATCATTTATCATGAACATAGCACATATATGACCGATAACTTAAGACTATTTTCAGAGTATACTGAAGGTTTTTTCAAAGTTCTACCAAAACAAATCTATTTCAATTTAATATGCAACTTGTAAATGGAATATTAAAAAAATAGTGACCAGAAAGAATTAATGATAAGACGAATTTCCAATTTTTTTTAAATGGACATTTCCCAATGATGACAACTGAATATTAGAAATCATTTCTTCAATTATCTATACCTTATAAATATTTTTAGGACTGTAATTTGTGTATAAATAACTTATGTTCATTTTAGGATATTGATTCACGCTTATTGATATCAGTCATAAGGGCAAATATTTATTGATGATATCTTTCAAGACAAATAATACTGGGATTTAAAGTTCCTTGTAGGTTTAACTAGCTAAAAATGATGATAATTGAGGGCCTAACGTTTATCAATTGCTAAATGCTAATTATTCTAAAGCACTGATGATAGTTAAGATATAGATACTTAAACAAGTTAAACATTTATTTTATATGGATAAAATAACAAAATAAGAACTACTTATATCTTGTCAGGTATATATATATATATATATATATATATATATATATATATATATATATATATTCAAAACTTTTGTCTTTTTGATAAACTGAAGGAATAGCTGAAAACTACTAAGAACAATATCATACATTCTTTCTACTTTACACTCTTGATAATGTGACAAATATTTTTAGATTTCCCGGAGCCAAGTGACAAGATTAATTCCTTACAAAGAGGTCATACAATTTTTCATTCTATTGAGCTTTCTTACATCACAATATGGTTGGAAAAATGTAGGGCATTTAAATTCAAACCAAAGATATAATGATAGTGTCCATTTTGAGTCACATCAAGATTACTAGTTAGAAATTACATTGATTTAGTAATGAGAGCTTATAAATAATTGTAGACGAAGTTGAAACTGATATCTGACTCTTCATGTTTTCTTGTATATTTCACTAACTAACAAATGTGCTCAATCAAAATAGTTTATGAATCAACGCTTTCAAATGTATAGAAAAGAATTAATCAATGTAGATCACACTTATGTGTATTTTATGCACTTCAACAAAACTCATCATGGGTTTCATCTTGTCAATAAAATGTGTAATATGTAGATGGGATGACATCTATCATTTTATCGTATTGTAACTTATAACCACGTGAATAATGTAAAAAGTATTTACCGTTTTATACTTATAGTACACATGATTTGTTCAAATACAAGAATCTAGTTTACCAAATTATAGATTCATGTCAAAACATATAGATAATAGGAGTGTCAAAATATTTTAATATACTGTTCTGTAATCGACGAACTCTTATCAAAGATCCGTAAAATGGAATGTCAATAATAAACTTTGTGTTGAAAAGAATCCAATCTGAAGCTGGTTAACACGATAGTAAAGTCCTTAAGACTGATATGAAATGGTTTCAAATGATCAAGATAGTATTAAAAGTAGTTCGTTAAAACAACTTGTCCTGTGTAGAACATGTAGAAAACATTAACTGACAGTCACTTACTGACACATATTATCATGATAATTAGATCAAGTTTTGGTTGTATTATTTACAGAGTCGATCAAATTATTCTTAGGTGTTGTTTCGTATGAAAAATAAAAGTCCTATCACAACACTAAAACCAACTATCTGAACTACGAAATCTGCCCAACATAATGCCAAGCTTTAGTCTTCGGTCAGTCGCTTTTGTTTTGTAAATATAACTAAAATAGATTGCTGATAGTGGACAAGTATCTGGAAGTCACTTCAATCTAAAATTGTAGTCTATCAACAAGTTCGTTTACTGAATCGAAAGTACTTGTATTGGACAAATAATGTTTAAAAATATATTTATTATACTTGTGGTAACACCCTAATAATAGTGGTTACACATATTTACAAAACTTTATGTTTGTTGTCGAGTTACTTAATCTTCGATTCATTTATTTGTAAAATCAATGAGATATTTGTTAAAAGAAAATAGTGGACGGTGGCACAATTTAGTGGATTAGTTGAAGCTAGACATTAACACCGTTGGATGCCGGCCAGCTCAGTGGTCTAAATGTTAGGCGTTCGCGCGCTAGACTGTTAGGTCCTGGATTCGAATCTCGAGGGTGGGATCGTGAATGCTCACTGTTAGGGAGTCCCATACAAGGATGAAACAGCCGTCTAGTGCTTCCAGGTTTTCCATGGTGTTCGGGCCCCAAGTGATTCATGAATTCAATTATCAAGTTACTACAATCTCCACAAAACCACTCTATGAAAATTTACCTTATGGAGTAGCATAATTAAACAAGTTCTTCCATATTTTCACTGATAATTTTCTTTTAAAGGGATGTTAAAAATATTGATTAATATTGTATATCTTTCGATAAAAAACTTAAGAATGAAGCCTTTTTTTAACAGCCAGAATTTATCAAAGATATATTCTTAGAACTGTGCTTATTTTGTCCTGAAATATCTGAGAAAGCAACAAATAAAAATATTTTAACTGTCTTCCTCAGGTGGAAGTTGGTTTGTTCTCTTCCATAGTGTGTGCTACTGATGATATCGAGTCAACGAACATTCAGTACGTACACAAATGTTCTTAAATACCAATATCTTTTTAATGACGGCTGTAGTAGTTCTCCAAGTTTCAGCTCCATAAAGTAGAACCATCTTGAAGTTCGATTTTGGTTGACAGTTGTTTTCAGTTCCACATATTTATCAATTGTAGGAATGCTATCCTTGTCTTACCGATCCTTGACTTCTTATCTGCTTCAGATCCTCAACGTTCATCGATGATAATGTACAGATATGTGAACGTTCCCACCTCCTCAAAAGCTCTATTTCAAGAGTGATTGGATTGGTGTTCACTGGATCGCATTTCAGGATGTTTGTTTTTCCCTTGTGTATATTAAGGCCTACTGATGCAGAGGCTTCTGCTACACTGGTTGTCTTGACCTGCAGTTGTTGATGTGTATGGGATAGAAGAGCCCGGCCACTTGTGCCATCCAAATCTCCTAGCCTCATTAAAACTGTTCATTGTATTTCGTGCATCCCTTAGATATCAAGGTCTTCATAATCCAGTCGGCAAACAGAGGAAAGATAAATAGAGAGCAATCAGACTTGTCTGATTCTGGTCCTTACTTCATTTAAGTCTACCAGCTGTCCTTTATATATGACTTTGCAGTGTAATCCGTCGAATGAATCCCGTATGATAGTGGTGATCTTTTCAATTATTCACTCCAGTGTCGAGTAAGGTTCGGTAAGGTTCTCCTGTTCAGATTATCAAACGATTTCTCATGGTCAGTGAAGTTCCTTTCAGTTGGTTGTTGAACGTTCATCCGTAGTGTCATCAATGGGAATATCCAAACAAACAATGCAAAAATGAATTCATGTCATCTTTCTGGATCATTAACCTCCATTCAGATATTTCCACCTAACCTCGATTTTTGTTATGATTGTTATTATGGTCTTATCAATCGATCTGACGTTTTCTGTGTGAGGTGGGGGAAAAGGAAAACCAATATCAAGTGTGACATTCAGTTTCTCGAAATTAGATTTAGAACGTCGTTCAAGTTAACAGGAAATGAAGTTCCGCGATTTACTTAGATAAGTGAAATGAATAACTTTCACTTCCTTTTTTACTATTACTGAAAGGTGACATGATTAAAATTAATAGTTAATTTTTAAAAAAATAAGGAGGTAAATGAGGTTCAATTATTCTGTTCATAATTTGAAATCAATTTTTCTGTGACATTATTTAATAATTTCAATAGTTGAAATCATGAGTTAATTGATGTTAGATCACCATGGAAAACTTGGAAGCACTGGACGGCCGTTTCGTCCTAGTATGGGACTCCTCAGCAGTGCGTGTATACGCGAGATTGGCATGTCCTGAGTTCGGACCTCGCGGATGGCGAGGTCGTAGATACTCAGTGCTATGGAATCCCATAGTAGGACGAAACGGCTGTTCAGTGCTTACAAGTTTTCTATGGTGGCCTAGCTTCAATTTACTCATGGTTTCAACTATTGAAATTTCTAAAATCTTCACAAAACTCCTGACAATTATTTATTGGTTTATTCAGTTCTTCACTTTTACTAATCTTATTATGTTAGTGTTTTCTACGGTTGAGTACGTCATGAATTTATTCACTTATATTTTAAATATTTTAGTCAAACTTCTGTTATGATAAACAAATTGTGATATTCATTACTACTGAATCGAAGTTTATCGATAGAAAGTGGAAATATGATGAGAAATATACTAGCAATTTGTCTCTAAATTTGTTTTAAAACCATCAGACAACTTGAGAACCTGAAAGCACTAGGCAGTTATTTTGGCCTCCTCAGCAGTGCTCACTTGCCATTCCGCATCCAGGAAACTAACTTTAGACATACAACATTCCACGCAAATGCTTAAACTATATACCACTTAGCATCAGTCCAATAATGTATATGTCTAATTATTTCGCGATATTGTTCAACTCTCAATAAATAGTCGGTGGTGGATAACTGTCTCGCATCCAGTATGGTTGAACTCCATTGATTACTGCTTCTTACTAGAAGTCTAAGAATTGCATCTCGAAGCTAGTCACTATTGGGAAAATCACCACTATCAGTCAAAGGTTCTGTAGAGATTACAGAATTACCATAATTTTGAAAACCGTTTGTATACCGGCTCAAACGTCTACTAGCCAGACTTTTGCTTACAAGATCGACGGTTCTTAGTCCGATTCCGAAGAGTGAGTGATTGGATGCACACTAGAGCAAGACGGCTATCCAGTGCTTTAAGGGTTTGAGTGATGGTTCAGTTAAAATCATCTTGGGATTAAAACGTAATTAGAATTATATGATCTCCAAAACACCTTGTATTAAAAATATATTGAAATTCAAGTACCTTATTTATGTTCGAGGGAGAATTGGTAGGAAAGTTTGATGATTGAATGCGTACAGAAGAGATAAACTGTTCGAATTAATGCCAACGAGATATCTGTTATGATGTTGTACATTAACTGTTAACAATTCTTTACTTTAACTTAATTTATGGTACTAAATAAAGCTATTATTATTATCATCACCATGCTGAGTGAAATGCACATTACATCATCAAATATTTGAGATTATGAAACCTAGTAAATATCTTTTGTGAGTCATATGATCCTTTATTCTTTTTTTTCCAAAAATAAGTCTCTGTACTACAAACAGTTAAGTAATTTTATTACCGTTAGAAAATTGTTCTAATCATTGATTAGTGATAAATGAAGCACCAGTGAGAATTAGTGTGTGAAATCATTCAATTTATCTCTAAGCACTAAGTTTATTTTTACATTTCACTTTTCTACAGAAACATTATAATATACAACATGTTTTCTAAAAACACCCATCTACAACATGTAGTTACAAGTGTAAAATAATAAGAACGTGACTATAAACAGTATACTTTCTTGCTGAACAGTCATTTATTCTTATTATTAAAATTCTAAATTTAGTATTTGAAAAGATATTAGAAGTGAGAAAAAGCAGTTGAGTTAAACCAATGTGACTATATACTTAGAAAGTGAGTATGTCAACATAAAAGGAAATATTATATTGTAAAGGATGTGAAGAAAATGTAGTAAACAACTCAGAAATATTAAATCTTGAATGGTGTTGTTTTCAGAAATTTTTCGTGAAGCAAATGAATGTAGAATCCAAAAGATGTAGGTTTTATTTATAGGGATGTGGCATAGGTAAAAACTTATCCAATTTGTCACCAATTACCCTAATTTAAAAAAAATGGGAATGATGTGGAAGCCTTTGGATTGAAGTATATTATACAAATACACTGAGTTCCCATTTTATTTTAGAGTCTCTACGATCTAGTTTAAAGCACAGAATATGTTGAAGGAAATTTATTGAGACTATCCAGTTGGCGATAAAATGAATCCTTAAGTATATTCGGGTCGTGTAGTTACAGATAACGTTCATTTTGTTAGTTACTGTTTTACTATGATTAAAATTACTAGTTCGATAATACTTAAAAGACTGACATTTGAAATTCAATCAATTAATCTTGCTTCGACATTGTTGTTAAGTATGGAACTAAAATTAGCAAGGTTAAATGAAAAAGTCATATATTTCCTATATAAACAACTTACTTTTTGAAACGATAAATGAAGAATAAATCTTGACTCCTTTATCAGAATCTGGTTCTCTGAAATATATCTACGTCTATATCGAGATAAGATGGTGGTTGGAGACAGTGTGGTGTTTGAATGAACTAATGATACCTTTGTACTTGTTGAATGCTCGATTTCGAATTTTAAATACAATACATTTGTTCGTGCTTGTGTCGTAATTCTTGATTCAACTGCATTAATTCTGGGATTCCTAGTTCATACGATAATTCAAATACTTTCAAATATTATAGATAGTCAACAGGAAATTCTGGACCCGGGTTTCTTGCTACATGGCACTTGTCAGCAAGGTGTACCTGTGATCTTGGGGGAACTGGTGCTTCCTTACGAATTTGATCCCGTATCACCCAGCTTCACAGTCAGGAACGTTACCACTGGGCTATCCGGGCCGCGACCGATCTCCTGTAGGACTGGGGTGTAATCACAATTGATTGATCACTGCCCAGTGATTACGACCATGTCATTTAGTTTGTTGTGTATATAAAACTTAGAAAATTGGAGTAGGACAGAATGTCGAGATTAATTTGATAATGAAAATATTTCATGTACTAGTTATTATTTCATCAGCTGCATATTTAAAAATCTGATTATTGAGACAATTCAGAAGGAATGATTTCCGACATATATCTAAAAGATGTGCTCTAAAATTAACTTTATTCTAAAACTTTTAATTCGAGAAACAGTCTTGGAGATAGTGGTCGAAGTTTAAACATGCTCATTATATGTATATCTATAAACCTGAATCCAAGACGTTCTAAAATTTGCCACTATCTACTGATTTATTTTCATAGTTGTCTATATTCAACAATTTGAAAGAAGATACCATATCATTTAAACTGTTGATCTCTATTCATTGATGGGTAGAGCTAACATTCATTGTTATATTATCCAGTTAAAAGAACTTTCAATAAAGATACATGAAACGATCACACTTTTGATTTATATTTACATGTAAATGGGAAAAAAAATCAAAATCAAAGAACTTGGCAACTTCCTATTATAAATTTTTTACCAATTAAACAATCAAAAAACTTATTTTTCCCTTTTTTAGAGAGAAAATTTAATCCGTTTTATGAATTTAGATTAGTAAAATCATTGATAATCTTGTTAATTAATGAAATGGAACTGAAATCCTATTAATTCAGTCTAAACACAATTTAGAACAACATATATAAGCGAACAATATTGTTTTCGATTAGATCCTCATCAGGCTTTACTCTAATATACATATATATTGCTTATCAAAAACTAATGCACCTGTTGTCACACCATCAATTTGTACTTTTCACATTTTACTTATTATGTAATCTTTTCCATTGTTATCATTGACTTATAAACTACCTTGATTGGTTTAATAATTTCGTATATGCATATAAATATTGCTGTATATTAGAGTAAAGCCTGATGAGGATCTAATCGAAAACAATATTGTTCGCTTATATATGTTGTTCTAAATTTACAATATGGGAATATTTCAAATTTTAAACACAATTTAACCAAATAATATAAACAAATACATAAATATGACAAAATCAAATAGCCTAATGATTTAATTTAGTGATAAATTACAAAAGCATTCTGTCGTAAATATGATGAATGAAAAGTTAGTTACTATACAATTTTGTTTATATTATCAATATTCTTTCTACTATTACTACTACTACTACTACTACTACCCCTACTACCACTACTACCACTACTACCACTATTACTACTACTATTACTACTACTAATATTACTACTATCACTACTACCAAAACTACTACTATTACCAAGATTAATCATTATGAAAAAAATAAAATAAAATAGAATTAGTCAAAGGTATTCAATTAACTTAGATTTAGGAGAACAAAAGCACATCTGAAAGATGGAGTTTTTGAGTATGAAATATTTATTTATTGTAATAAAGAATCTATAAAAGAAAATCATTCAAATGTAGCATGATAGAAATTAGTTTATTTTATGAGTTGTATTGTTAAAAAATAAATAATAGCTAGTATCTATGTAATATGAGATTAATATGAATTTCAATTTCAGTTTATGCTTCATGCAAATGTATAAGCAAAGATAGTTAGTGGCTAACAGTGGAATCTAGGATGCGTGTTTCGTCCTACATGGGACTCGTCAGCTGGATGTACCTTTATCTCAGAGTTGATGTTCACTCTGGGACTTGAAGCCAGTACCGTTAGCTTTAAACGCCATCACGTTATCCACGCAAATACTGAATTCTGATAACCACTTACATGTGCAATGCGGTGAAGTTTAAATTCACATGGCATTGTTTACTTGAATCTTCTCATTGATGTTTAGGACTGAAATTGATCAGTCTCTTATTAGCTTATGTGCATCCTGTTCGTATTGCTTTGGTATTGTCTTAATTCACAAGTATTATAAGCGAACCAAGCCAAACACTGCAGATTGGTAATGTTAGAGAAATTCGGCATGCGTATTTTGTTCGGTTTGGAGCTTGTTATTTGGGTTTACCCTAACACCAGATGACGAGTACCAGACAGGACGAAATGCGCATTCTGGATACCACTGCCAGCTACTATCCATCTTTGCTTAAAATTTGTTGATTGTTTGTTGTGGTTTATTTTAAGTTTAGGCACAAAATAAAAAGTAGGAGAACTTGACGGACTGAGAAATATGTTAACATTAATCACGCGTCATATACATTTATTCATTCCCATCCTGTTCAGTTTTAGTGTTAGTATTGGATTATCTTACTAGAAAACTAAAGAGAGAGATAAACGAATGTCGTAAAATTATTAAACATTGACCTGAATCATGATCTGAAACATAGATTTATTTTTCGAAATAAGTTAAATAGCAGTAATCTACGATTCAAGATCTCAGATGGGATGTCTACAACATTTTGGATTGTTAATAGTAGATGAATTCGTCATGCATATTTCGTTCGATTGGGAACTTTTCAGCTAGGTCTATCCTAACATCAGTATTGACGTTTATATTGAGGCTCGAATCCAATATCATTTCATTATTCATTCAGTCTAGTTAGCCTTAAAACACCTTTTACAACTCTTGTTAAGAAAATAATTGAAAACAATCGTACTGTTTTTCTGAGACTTAAAATGTAATGTCTTTACTCATTTTCATAACTAAATGTAAATACGTGTCTTGAATACATTAAGATATTATAATATCTTAACAGTTTATTTAATACTTGGTTTACTTCATTCAATAAAGTTATTTTTCCTTATAATTACATTCATTATGAAAGGATAGAGATTTTAAGCTAATTCTTTGAGATGGAATGGCATTTCAAGATGTGTAACTACTACACTTTCAAGAATAATGGAATGCTAAAAGGAGATAAATAATAGACTATTTACTGTTGATTGATTCCAAATAGTGAATAATGTCATTTTTTTAAACTTTCTTCAACCACATAATATCGCAGCCTAGTGCATGCAATGTTGTGTCACTTATACTACAGTCCACATTGAAGCTTAATCGATTAAAATTGATTAGCATTAAGAAGGATTTGATAAACATGACACTAATCACCACTGAGTCACCAACCCACTAGTAAGCATCAGTCCCATCAAGATCACAAACAAATATTTAGACAACGAATATCAAATAGCAGGAAATCTAGGTTCAAGCTATCCTGTCGATTATTTTTTTCCTAACATGGTCACTATATTCATCTATAGGTACGTAATACAGAATTCAAGTGAATCATCTTGGTTTATTTCAGACTTTAATGAGAAATATTAAGTACATTCATTCACTTACCAGTTAATGAGAATTACTTTCAAATAAAAATTGAGCATTACGTTTACTTATTTAAAAAACATACATATGCATTTATTTTGTGTTTACATATGTGTTTACATGCTTTCCTATCAGTGATTAGCTAGCTAATGTTTGTTAGTTCATTTTCTTTTTTTAAATGGATCAATACTCTTGTTTCCATTGATAGAATTTAACTGATAGGCTTGATTTTCAGACAAAAATTTTATAATTTTATAATGTTTTGTATTATTGTTGAGACGGATTGCGAGAACTATGACAGAGCCTCCAGAGGCCCTAAAAGAGCTGAAGAGTTTCCATTTAATCAGAACGTAATGAAGCTTTCCAGAAAATTAATTACATGAATGTACAAACATGGATTCTATTCCAACACTTAGTTTTCTTTACTTAACACTGTTTAATTAGTTTATGTAAATGTATAATCATCGGTATTTAGTTGTAAACATGAATAAGTTGCTTTTCAGCTAAAATAATATATCATGAAGATTTACTTCGTAAATTTTATCACAGTAAAAAGATTTCAGTCGAATTAGTTTTGTTGGTTACTTATCAATTGTTTATCTATAATCAAATTGGCAAAGAAACTTTTTTTCCATTTACAGTTATAAATGTGAAAAGTGAAGATTGAGAACTGAGCTAACTATGATTATATTCATTTTCTTTTATTGAAGTGATTCTTTGAAAAAATATATAATTAAATTGAAATTATCAATTATTTGTCCCGAGATCTTGGAAGATAAAGATAAAGCAGTTTTTCTTAATGTCATTAATGAAAAACCTTCAAAATCAAACGACCAATGAATAAACTTTACAGAGTACTATTGTATTGAAAAAACGTTAAGAAGAAAGTTGAGGAGATTGTGTAGTCTGCCTTCAAGTGTTGTCGAATAATTGATAAATTGTAACCGTTTATAAAATGCAAATCTGATGTTTGAACCATTTTATCATTTTCTTTTTCTTTCTCCATTCCATCGTTTTACGAATTCATCATTTTTGTATTGCAATAAAATTTGATATATAAATCACTTTCTATTTTCTTAAGTTTATGGTTTTAATAATATGGGCCGAGTGAATTTACTGAATAGATAAACTAAATAAACTCTTAATCTTAATCTTAAATGAAACCATGATCAAAAAACATAGTTTAGAAAAAGGATGAAAATATAAATGAATTAATATATTTGTAGTTATCCCAATGAAGAGAATAAATTAAATTTTCCGACGTTTCGTGACTTGATGTAAGCTACTTCATCAGAGAATGAATGACCAAATCAAAATTAATCCAAGTTTAAATAGTATAAGGCAACAACACATAATATTCTTGCGTTGTTTCATTGTACCATTTAAACTTGGATTAATTTTGATTTAGTTATTTGCTCTCCGAAGAAGTGGCTTACATTGAGTCACGAAACGTCGGAAAATTTAATTTATTCTACTTATTGAGGTATTACAAATATACTACTTTTATTTATAATAATCTATCCAATGCTCAATTTATTCGAAATTATCAAGTCAAAGTTTGTTAATGATACATATAAATGAAAATAGATCTTAGTCAGATTATGACATTTCGTTGAGGTGCTTTCATTATTAGTATAGAAGACATTTGAGAAAAAAATTTATTTTGATTTGATTTAGTGTGAAACTATAATCAATTTGCTACAATAATTTAAATCTTTTAAGAAAAGAATGATTTTTAGGAGTTTTTATTTATTTATTTGCTTTCTAGTTTGGATGATTGTTTGAGTATATGGTTAATTATTAGATATAACTGTACCTTTTTTTGTAATGGATTAATTTATACGGCTACTGTTTATGAGATATGTATTATGTTGACAGTTCCTCGTTTAATATTAAGCAAGCAAATGGACAAAGCGATAATTTAATAATAATAATATGTTTGAAGGAGCAAGAATTCATGTATAATAGTAATAGTCTAGATGACAGTGTATGTGACTCAACGGTGGCGTATATGATGGCAGATATGTAGACTGTAAGTTGGAATCACTTTGAACTCAGCTTTTTTGAAATAATACCATTTGTTTGTCTCACTGCTCAATCCACCATTGCCCACTTAAGCAAAAGCATGGGAGCATGCATCTCTTCCTGAATTTAATTGTTTTTAAGTCTTGGTTTACACATTCTGTGACGGACAAAATATGTGCAGAAACTAGTCATAAATGCTTATAGGGATATCGTACACTTTTACTGGTGCAAGTTTCATTTTAATTAAGTATCATTTTCAAATCACTAATAAAAATTGTAAAATCTCAAACTTTTCGTTTGTTGAACTGAATATTAGTGCATGAAATAGACCAATATGCTATCGATGAAATGTTTATTTAAACCATTTTATCCAGTGATCAGTGATGACCTAAATATCTAAGCCTTTATGCAATGATAAAAACTATTCAGCCGCACAAAATCAGTGACAGAATAAACTCAACTGAAAGAGATTAACGCTGTTATCAATCGTTATCTCCAAGTAGATTTATTTTGTTATGGGATTTTGTCTTATTGGAAATATAACTTTTTCCGTATTTCGTTCTCAATGCGCATTCTTTTTCGTGGGTCGGGAAGTGGATTCTCAAGTCAACCTAATTTTGTAACTAGTGGAATCAATTAAATGGCAAACGGAAGAAACAAAAGCAATAGCTAATAGATGTTCGTGGAATGTTCGAACAATGTAGGAGACCTTATCAACCAGTCAAGTAGCTGTGGAAATGAGGAGATACAACTTAACGGTTCCCAGAATCATAGGACTTAAGCTAGACAGTAAAGGACAGATTCAAGAGAGATGCTTCTGTACTATGGTCTTAAAGAAGAAAATGCTCCATACACTCAGTGAGTTTGTCTCATGCTGTCCAAAGTATCACGAAACGCACTTATTGAAAGGAAATGTCATTGATGCGATAACTTCAAAGCAAAGAAGGAGGGAATCACAATGAATATTATACAATGCGATGCACGCACCAATGATAGCAACGACGATAAAGATCAGTTTTATGAGAGACTGTCTATGTAAGATACTCGATGTCTGTTGACCCGATACAATAAGGAATGATCTATTGTGAGGGAAGACAAGCCAACCTTCATCTGAGGAGAAAATAAAGAAAAGACACTGGAAGGGATAGGACATACGTTGAAGAAATCACCAAACTACAGCACAAGGCAAGTGTCATTTTGGAATCCTGAAGGCATAGAGGAACGTGGCAGGTCAAAAAACGTAACGCGTTGGTAATTGGAGATAAACATCCAAAGAATGAATACCATATGGTTACAACTTGTAAGGAAGGAGGAGTACAGTGTTGGAAGAAGAATGATGATGGGCGGCCTATGCTCCTCTATGAGGGGTAAAAAGCTCAAGTATATAAGTACGTCTCAGTTTTACTATCGTTTTGAGTATGCGCCTAAGGGTTTTAACGTCCTACATTTTGTTGAGTATATATCACATCAGATTGAAGTAGTGTCTTTAAGCCTTATTGTCGCGAAGTTGACCATTTCTTAACTGAGCACTGAATATTAAGTTTAATGAATTGTACGCTTATTCTTTGATATTTTCATGCTCTGCATAAGTTACTAATAATTATTGACATGTAAATTGAAAATTCAAAACTATTGTGTATCTTTTCATTTTTCTTTATATTTCATTAGAATGTAGGATGACATAAAGTATCGTTCAAATGACCTTCTATATATGTTGATAAAAATATGGTAATAAATATATATCTTTGATAGTGAAATTTCTCAGAATATATGTTAGTATGCTGCATTGTGCATTTAATTTTGTTCAACATATCCATTATACATAGTTTTTATTTCATTCCAGTAATTATTTTCCCACCTCCTTCATTCATAATATTAAATACTGACAATCGGGTTGGCTTGTAGCCAACTTTGTATCATTATTCAGTATTTTGCATTACTAAGGCGTAACATTTACCCAATTTGTTCATGTAAATTTCGAGCAAAATATGTACTAACGTGTACTTTTTTTTACTAGCCAATGAAAAAAAAAACACCAAAGCAATAGCCTAACTGTAAGAAAGAATTACTTTGATTATTCTATTCATGAAGACAATTGTTCTTTCTAGGCAAAATCTTTGTATATTTTCATAAAGATTAAATACTTTTAGTATCAGATTGTATAGATATTGAAATTGTATTACTTTATACAGCATCAATTAACCAACAGGTATTTACTCTAAACATTAATATTTTGTCCTTATTGTAAAGATTGTTTAATAAAAGGGATAAACCTAGTGTCATTAATAAAAATAATACTATAAATTATGAATGTTTAATGTTTTTTATACTCATTTATATTCACTGTATAGTAGACATTAGAGCATAAAATAGTATAATGTAATCTACTAATATATAAACAATAAACAGTGGATTATTTCTTTTCTATGTGATTAAGTAAAACAACCTTCCTTCATTAGTCGGTAAAACATTTATCATGCTATCAATTGATTTACAATTTGTAGAACTTATTTTCAAATGCTTTTTTTCTATTTATATTTTTTTCATCATTTTGTTATAAGATAATTTTGTTGTAATTCCATTATTCAACAGCGATACATCAAAAGGAGTTTGAAAATTTCATTATGAAATGGTAAATAACAATTGATAGTACTTTGGTTTGTACTACTTATATTGACATAAGTAGTAGATGATGTTAATCGTAGACAGAGGATTTGGAAGCAGAGAAACAAGAGGATCGAACAGTAAAGAATGGAAACACGTATGCAATTTGTATGAAAATGCAAGAACAATGAAGTCTGAGTCATTTTGACACAATTTGTGGACATTTTGCAGATTAAGCGTTTACTTTATGATTGTTAGATTTTATTAACAAGTCTGTAGTTTTGTGTTAAATGCATTCGATTGTCCTCACCCGTGTTCTGTTCACTACAGTACAATTCAAATATTAAAACTTGAAAAAAGTTTTCAGAAAAAGAAAACTATATATTATTAACAATTACCTAGAGATTATTATACTGATGAATATTCGAGAGAGAGAATAACATTTATTCAGAATTAGTTTTACAGTCAGAAGATGATGGTTAAAGATAGTCAACAGAAAATTCTGGATCCGGGTTTTGTGCTATTTAGCACTCGTCAGCAAGGTGTACTTGTAATCTTGAAATTATTTAAACAAAAATTATTGAAATCTACTTTTGAAAAAGCAGCAGAAATCGCTAACCAAAATTATATATTGATAGTCACACAAATTAACTATACTAATCAGCTAGATCAATTTCAAGATTAAGCCGAGATTTTCGATGGAAAAAAAGGCAACCAAGCAAATTACGCGTCTTTTTGTCGTGTTTAGCACTACATATTTTATTAATATATTGAAGTATACTATGTTTAAGTTGTTTCTTATTTGGAGTATCACATCATATACATTTCAAGAAACTTTTTAGATTGAAACAATTAGGAGTTCGTATCAGATTAAATGATATGTTGCTAAGATAATTAAAAATATCAACATAACATTGTCTGAATTTTGGCTCAAGTAAATCATTTCTTGTCTGAATTGTTTTTCATATGTCAGATATTTATAAACCGTAGAATATTCAGTAAGTTACTTAGTCTTTTAAATACGATATCTGAATGCATTTTAAATATTGTGTTAACAAAGTTTTGAAGAGTCAACTCATGTCACTCAGCTTCACAGTCAGAGGTGTTATCACTGGGCTGTCTGAGCCGTAACTGAGTTCCTATAGAACTGAGATGTAATCACAATTGATTAATCATTGAATGTGGATTAATACCACATGTATCAGGTCGAATCCGTCGAGAAGAATCAGTTCCCTCAAGATTATTATTGTATTAATTTTGGTTTTCGCATAACAGTGTCTGAAGTTACATCCAGCCGATAAGTCTCAGATAGAAAGATTCTATTGTCAACCAAAATTCAAAAAATACACTAAAATCTTAATCTATTTTATTTACAATGGAAAACTAGATGTACATGACTATTAATTATAAATTAACATAAAAATGTGAATCATTTGTGATGTTTCAAAGATTTTTTTTAGGAAAAAAAGAAGAGAAAAATAATATATTTATCCATGGTAATTATTTTAAATCATGCAAATATTATGAAATCATTTAGCGACTAAAAAGGTATATACAATTACATCATAAATGATCAATATATATTAACTTTTATTCTAATATCTAACATAATACAGTATAATATTGCTTATATGTAGATTTTGTTATTTATTATTTATCAATGAAATATACTGATTATCTGAATCATTAAAACAAACTCCCCCCCAACAACAAAAACGAACCGATTCAATTCATATAACATATTGGGATATAAATTAATCAATAAAGTCATTAAAATAATTTCCTGATCGTATATAACTTCTATTTGAATTCACTTTAGATTATATTGATATGTAGTCATAGTCATTACATAACAAACTATTGAAAATCTAATAAGACTATTCATTTATATGAACCTGAATGATATTTGTTATGATGAATCGTTTTTTTTTCTTTCTCTAGTTCATATTATGCTAAGTAAATAATCTTTTTTTGTGTTTTTTTCAAGGTTGTTGCTATGGCTAGTGAAACATAGACAAAATCTGGAAACAAACAAACAAAAATAATAATAAAGACGAAAATATAAATAAAACTGACGAAATTGGAATTTTGTTGTTGTTGTTGTTGTTGTGATTTATAAAAATTGCTTAGATTCTATTAATTTAAATAATTTTGTAAATTGTAATTCTATACATTCTAAACGATTATTTAAATTACGTAATTCATTAATTAAATGAATTTCATTTAAATTGCTGCCTTGTAAATGATAGACACGATTTGATAATGTACATCGATTAGGATTGTAATCATTTGTACATGACCAAATTGAATTGACTGGAGAAGTATTTGGTGTATATAAACACCTAAATGTAATGAAATAATAAAAAAAATCGAATTGAATATATGGTATACAACTAATGTTAAATTTCATTAACTTCTATATTGAAACTGACATCAGTTTAAAAATTATTTCAGGTAAGATACATGAAATCGATGTTTTTCACCATCTTGAAATATTTAGCAGTATGTAACTATAACCAAATACGAGATAAATTAAGTACCTTGTGTGATTGGTTTTGGGATATTCAGAAAAATATCCCAAAAATTATTCTGTTAAGTCTAACGCTATCCTTGGACTAGAGATGGTGTCATTTTCCTGTTGGCCAAATATTGTACAAGTGTTATTTTCTATTTTATGGTACGATGTGGTCTGCTTGATTAGTATATAAACAGAGTATGTTTGAAATATAACGATTCATTTCTCAGAGACTGAGAATTGCGTTCTGGACTCAACTGGCTGGTCTAGACAGGAGAGCAGGGCCAATCAGGACTCTAGGCTGTCCTCACGTGTTTTAAGCGTCTTTTGGTTTGATCGATAATTCACTACCGTCTAATCTGCAGTCACGGTCACAACAATTGAGATTAAATATACTATTTAGGATGATCATTGAAAAAAACGGTGAAATTTCGATTATATTAAGGTTTAAAACAGTAATGATGATAGTTAATCATGATGAATTAAAGTTTCATTTGAAGAGCTGGAAGTTTAAGAATTCTTTCATTTAAATACATTTCCTATGTCAAATTCCGTACTGTACATCAGTGATATCGGAAAATTCTTGTAATTTCTTATACTGTCAACTAATGGCGTCTAAATCTTAATGACACGTATGAGTTTTGAAATAATAACCACCCAACACTTTGTTATCTTCAAAAAGCATTTTCATGCAGTAGAAATCAAATTAAAGTTTACGTAAATATCTAAAGATTGTTGATTTGTTCTAGCATGAAGTCATAGATACACACTGATGAAGAGTCTTAATTCAGGACAAGACGGTTATTCAATGATCTCTAATTTTCATTAATTACTCACTTGTGACGTAGATTAACTTTAAATCCAGTATTCTTACTAAACAATGTGCAAATAAACAAAGTAAATTAACAATCAACTTACAAATTAGATGTTGAAATTGTATTAATATCACAATTAAGTGAATTGAATTGTGTCAGTTGCATAGATACGCATATAGGCTTACTAGATACTATTTGTCGTTGTGTATTTTCTATAAAATTTACATTTGGAATTGAAAGACATTGACCGGATAATAAAGGAGTTTTTCATAATTATATGATAAACACTGTGGTGATGCAATGCTTGATGAACATAATTCGTCATTTGACTGTGTTCCACTTGAATGATTTGAAAATATCCATGTATCATCTGTATGACGATCAGATCTTCGGTATGGATTCATCACACTAGAACTTGTTGCTTTTGATTCAGAATTTTGAGCTTCAAATGTTGGCATAGTATGACGACGATTTTGTTTAGGACTAAATGATTTCAAATTACAAGTAAATGTTTTATGACTCATAGTTTCGTTTAGCTCTTCTATGGGTTTATAATTAGAAGGTGGTGACTTATTCTCTTTTGACTTTTGTGTCAAGTCTAGATTACTTGAACAACCGGATGATTTAGATGATTTTAGTAGAAAAAATCTTCGTCTTGTTACAATCTTATCCGTTGATTGCAAACGCCTTGGATAATGAGATAAATATTTTGTGCCACGAGTTGGTGATCTAAATTGCCATGCAATTTGATTTGCTCCCGTTACTGTTGGCTTTGTAATTGTTGATAATGGTTTAGTAATTGATATTTCCGAATTTGATCGATCATTTGCATGAGGAATTAATAGGCCAGACTCTTCATCATATGTTGTTAAACTACAACTTCTTCCTTTATTGTCAAATATAAACTTAGGCGGTTTCAAACTTTCTACATCTTTAATAACATTCAATTTAGTTTCACTATCTTCCCAGTCTTTTTCATCATTAGCTAATTGTAATGTAATAGCTGGAACAGTAATCACATCATGTGACAGACAATTTTCCTATATATTCGAAAAAAAATACTTTGAAAAGTATAGAGAGAAAAATAGTATAAATGCCGTGGTATCATAACCTAGAAAATCTTAAACATTACATAGATGATTTTTATGCAACTGAATTCACATGGATTAAACATTTAAATTCAGTTGGTATTGTTTACTTGATGTTTAAGATTGCAATTGACCAGTCTCTTATTGGAATATGTGCATACTGTGCGGATTGCCTCGATATTGCAGGTACATCCAGCTGATGAGTCCCAAATAGGATGAAAAGCGTATCCTAGATTTCACTGCTAGTCACTATCCATCTTTGCTTATAATGATTAAACATTTATCTTACATTGTAATCTTTATATAAACTGTAGTATAACTCAAGGTTTTACGTGAAACCTAATAGCATATTTTATGAACTTAAATAATTTCTTCTTGTATTTTTTTTAAAGTGGTTATTCATTGAAAATGAATTCTTGCAAGTCAGATTAATTAGTTCTATGATATTTACAAGAATGATTTGATTTATTGTTCTACATTAAGATGCATTATAAGTTAGATTGATATGAATTTAGTTAACTGTTATATATCTAAGGATTCTTGTTAAAGGAAGTTCTCTTCTTCTTCTTCAGTGATCTTGTTTGTCTGGTTAATGACAAAAAATCAATATGTTTCAATTTGGTATGCATAATTTAAACAACTGTAGTTTTTTTCAATACATAGAATCCAATTAATCTTCATCTGTTAATTCACATTGTACGGTACTTACATGAAGAATAACGATCGTTAAATTAAGATTTTCACGAACGTATCAAGTTATATTATGTTTGTTAGATGTAATGACATGCTGAGATAAATTATTTGTTCAACTTACTTGTAATTATGGTGACGAGAAATAAGCAATCTCTATTAGGTATTTAGCAGAAAACATCATTCATAATAATCAAAGTTTAGTTAACCAGTTATTAAAAACTAGGAAGCTTTGAACATACGTTTCATTCTAGTATGGGGTATCTCAGCAACGGGTACTTACAATTCTATCAAGGACTAATGCAGGATGTTTAAGCCAATGAACTGGGATCCAGTGGTTTTTATTGCCAATTTTAATTAGTTCATAATATTACGTAAAATGTAGATAGTTGCCTTACATCCAACACAGAGGGACCCCATACGTGAATCAAATATGTGTCAAATGCTTCCTGGTCTTCATTTGTTGCCTACCAAATATCAGTTACGATGCAAATTATATAATACATTGATTTGTTTTATCCCATCAAAGAATGTCATCCAATGAGTGACATTTAAGAAATAGTGTACTGTTTATGAATATAATAAACCGGATTTACAAATTCAAGAACTAACTTTTGTATTTATTATTTCTTCGTTTGTTTTAAAAGTGTAAGAAACTTTAGGCTTATGAGTTCGATGATACCTATGCACTACTGAAAAGCCTCGAACTAGAACTAAACAACTGTTCGGTATTCCTTAGTTTTCAGAGGTCTCCCAGATGATATCAGTTCATGAATAGATCTACTTCTAAAACCTACACAATATCATTTATCTTGATATAGATTCAATTTTCAATCTTAAACAAGAACAGAACGTCGATTAATTTTATCCCTTAGTATTTTGTATAGTTTTATACTATATCTATTATTTATTTTCGCTTACTGGGAAGTTTAAGCAATAGATCGTTTAGTTGATAAAAGTTTGTCCGTTATTCTAGGCAACATAAGAAAACTTTATTTTAAATCTAAATTAACTTTTTAGAATGATTCTAAAAGTGATCTGTCAGTTTATAATGATTACGTAGCTTGTGATTGGCTTTCACCAGGTCTAAAGGAATTTCTTACACTATCATGTATATATAAGTAATGAGTGACCAGTTAATAAGATTCTCTTGCATATGAAACGCATAAAATGTAGTGGTCAAATGTCAAAAAAGTGTAAGGATTTGTTATACCACTATAATTTTCATTCATATGTATTAAAGTTTGATTTTTTTATTTATTTGAATGACTACTGAGTAGTGAAAGAAGTTTTTGCTAGTTACGTCACAAGTAGTTGCTAGATTTCATCTATAAAAATGTTTCTTTCTGTTTATTTCATTCATAGTTGTGTCATTTTAACAGTAATTTAGCAAATGAACTTAAACTTTTCCTACCGTTTGCTTATTGATGCTATTTGAAAGGTTTTGTAGTGCTTACAATAAGTCAAGCATATCTCATTATCATAATTCTGTACGGATCCTAAGTTTAGAAATTTCAGTTTTGGCCTTATTGTGCTTGTTTGTATTCATTCATAAAATCATTTCACATGTTTCCACTGTGATAATGATAGAATTCTTTGGTTTAATGGAATTACATTACTTTTAATCTGTGAATGAAATCGATTTCATAAAATTTGACGCTTCAGTTTTAGTTCTAAGAGAAGATCTTGCGTTTTTTTGTAGGGGTCCGTTTCAAAGTGACCAGAAAGGCAGCCAGTAGTCTGAGTAACAAACTCAGTGGCTGTTTACTAACTTCTAGATATCATAAACTGTTTGTAAATTCAAATCACTTCTCATTTGTTTAACATTTTTAAGTTTAATTTTACTGGTGGAAGTATAATTATACTGTCTTATTGTTTCACATTCTGACATTTGTTCGTTATGAGACTAAACGTCAAAAATTTGATTTTCATTGGGGCACCTCAGAAAATCAATACTTATATTGTTTCCATGATTTATGTATATTTTTTATAATATTTATATTATTATAATATTAAGGTTTCGTACTTATCTTCTAAAGTATGAAGGGGAACTAATACATTGAAATATTGAACACAAATTAATAAATGTATCTGCCTTATAAGTTAAAAGAAACTAATTAATAATTCACAAGAGGTACTAATAAAGGAAAAAAAAACAAAAAAATATATAACATTTAGTGTTCGTAGGCAGATATCCAACTTGAAATTTCCTCTTGGTTTACCTTAATCAAACACCAGACAAGTTTGGAATTCTTTTAAATAAACATCTTAATATATAAAGAAACATGACAGTCTACATAGAAACATGAGTATTGGTATATCTATTCCCCTCTAAACTTAAATAAATCATCATTATTTCGGGGTTGTTTTTTTCTTTAAAAAATCAATGAAGAAAATACAAACTCAATTCTTTGAAGCTTACATTATCCAAATAAATTTGAAAGTATAGAAATATGCTAATAACAATGTTGTATGCTTGTGATGTTGAAGTTTTGACTTCAAGAAAGTATATTTTGCATTTTATTTATTTATTAGATATTCATAAATTATGAACAAGTATTACCAGATAGTCAGATATACTCCATACATGGATCAGATAAAGTTATGTTGTTCAACTTTTTAGTATTTTGGACAGTTCATATTCATGGTTATGTCAAATAATTCAATGATTAAGTACGATTTATTATTTAATAGACATATACGTTATTCATATTTATAACATTAATACTAATAACTTAACTAAATATGATTTTTGAATAGTAATACGAGAGTTGATTTCTATTTTGTAGTTAACGATGAGGAAAGATATAGAACAAGTGAGAGTTATTATTGCTTGTTGAACCCATAACTTGAAAGTTTTCAGCTTTTTTTATTAATTCAAATAAACAGTTTTACATACATTTACCAATAAAATAAGTTATAATCTAATGTAAGTGAAAGTAAAGTAAAATATAATTTTAAAGGATTAACCCTTAAACTGATAATTACCATGTGCTCACTAAAGACTAGCTTTGTGAGAGAATTCTCGAAGTTCTAGTGAGAATCCGTGACCAGTGGAGCTAATCTATGTCCGGTAGAGACAAGTATCTACATCAGTACAATGAAAGATGGTCTCGCAATTTCGTAGATTGGTTGATGTTAGACACTATCACCACTGGATGCCGGATCAGTGGTCCAGTAGGTTAAGCGTTCGCGCCCGAGACTGAAGGCCCTGGGTTCGAATCCCAAGAGCGGGGTCGTGGATGCGCACTGCTGAGGAGTCCCACAATAGGACGAAACAGTCGTCCAGTTCTTCCAGGTTTACAATGGTGGTCTAACATTAATCGGTTCATGATCTCAATCAAAAACTTAACAATCTCTGCAACACCTAATCTGATGACTTATTTC